GATTAACTAATGAATCAGGTAAACCAAGCTTTAGAGCCCTGAGGTCTGAGGAGCCCTGGATATGTTGATGCTTTTACCTTCTGCTCTCCCCCGGGCAGTGCAGTGAGCGGTAGGAGGTAAGAGCGTGGAGAGCAGGAGCCACGTCTGGCAGCAACAGACATTCTTTTGGAGGTCAGTCTGGTGTCTGACACATGCGGAAACCCGTGCTTAAGAGTCTCCAAACCGAGCTGAGAATTCCATGACTCTTAACCCACCTCCACATGGAAATCCCAGAGATAGATTGATGGAATGGAATGCACAAACTCTCACCCTGGAGGGACACAACCTGCTAACCTGCTATGGGGTCCTGTAGCTCAGTGATTGGGGCACTCACCTCGCAAGCGAGAGGATCCGGGTACAATTCTCGGACAGGCCAAAACCCTAGACAATTTCCCTTCCTTCACACGCCTCTGTTTACTTAGCAGTAAGTAGGAACCTGTTTGTTGGCCGATTGGCAGCTGGTTTTTCTGGGGTAATAATCCCTTCAAAAAAAATATAATTAAAAAAAGGAATAATTTGGTCACTCAATCAATCCACGACTGTTTGTGGGACGCTGCTGTGCACACTTGGCTGCCGTGTTTCGCCCACAAAATATACACTTTACAGTATATTCTGTGAAACGCTTTGAGACGATTCGAGGAAATGCTAAGGGGCTGTATCAAATGCAAGGATTATTAGTATTATTACCTAATTTCAGAAAGTATTAGGCGGAAGTTGGCAAGAGATGAGGTTTGGGAACCCCACAGTGTGCGTTGGGGGGAACTGGAGTCATTTTCTGTGTGTTCACTGGAGTGTGTGAGGGTGAGAGAATGGCAGTGTGTGTGAGTTGGAGGAGAGGGTGGACAGGCTTTCCGATAGTCGTGAGGATGATTTGACGGCCTGTGAGTTCCTGATCTCGGCGCTGAGCGAAGGTATACGTCACTCACACGTCACTGGCAGGACCAAGGCCTCAAAGTGAAGCCATTACAAACACAGTCACTGTTAAGGTAAACCCAATGAACAACGGCAAGTTACAGGGACAGGTCACAGCAGTTTAAATACAAAACTTATATACTTAATCAAATAAAATCAGCTCACAAAATACACTTTACAGTAGAGTATATCTTATGAAGCTATTCGAGATGTCTCAATGACGTGACAAGGTGCTAGATCAAATGCAAGGATTATTATTATTATTAAAACAAAATAGAGCCTATGCAACCTATAGGGTACGTTAACATAGTTTTTGTGGTAAATGTTTTTTTTAATTTGGTCAGCCTCATGCAGGAAACCCTTTGTAAGATATACTATAAAGTGTAGTGACTGTGTGTATTTTGTAGGAAACACGGCAGCCAATTTACACACAGCCAAAGGGTCCAACAAACAATACAATGCAATATTACATTTGTATCGCACCTTTCACGTTGGGAGGACATCCTAAGGTGCTGGGTAGTCAGGGATTTGAACCCGGTGGGGGTGATTGGGTAATGGTGGGTGGGGGGTGGGTAGGGTAGGAGAGGAGCCAAAGGCACGGTTGAGGAGGAGGGTCTTGAAGGAGACAAGGGTCTGTGGGATGGAAATCCATAGGGTGGGGGCATAGAGGCTGAAGGCCTGAGCGTCGATGGTGGGGCTGGCTGAACGGGGGACGTGGAGCAGGCCAGATCCTGCTGAGTGGAAGGAGCGGACAGGTTGAAAAGTGGTCAGCGGGTCACAGAGGCAATCACAACGCGAACAAATGATTTTGTAACAACATTTCTCCAGCGCCCGTCACATGGGGTAGCACCTCGGAGCACTTAAAAGTGGCGGAGCTGTACTGCCCAGAAAGAGAGGAGGGGGGAGAGGTGACCGTAACCTATAATATGAGGGCAACCTGCGCCTAATACTTTAAGGAATTAGGTAAACAGAATGCGTCCCTCCAGGGAGAGAGGGCAGATTCCATCAGGTGGGATCCATGGAAATCCCAATTCAGTTACTCTTAAGCACGGTGATGTGTTTCTGCGTGTGTCATACACCTGACTGCCCAGTGCATTACTGTATACACACAGATAATCCCTATCCCATCACACGTAATCCAGATAATCCCTATCATCCATCACATACCGGCCTGCGATGCTACCTCGGAGTGGAGTCCTGTAGCTCAGTGGTTAGAGCAAGACAGAGGACCTGGGCTAAACCTTAGGCAATTTCCTTACTCCACACAAGCGCCTCTGTTTACTCTGCTGGTAAAGTAGGATAAAGTAGGTTGTTAGTCAATTGGGGGAGGGGAAATAAATACTCGCTTTTCCAGGGGAAATAATTCCTTCAAAAATAATAATACAGAATAATATATTGGTCACTCATCCACCACTGTTCTGTGGGACACTGCTGTGCGCAATTGGCTGCCACGTTTAGCCCGCAGGATATACAGTCAATTCTCTTCACAGTATTTTCTATGAAGCAGTTTGAAACGTCTCGAAGACTTGATAAGGAGCTGTATCAAGCGCAAGGATTATTATTATTATTTATTATTATTATTATTATAATTTTCCCAGTCTGTCTATTGCTCCCCTGTCTCCACCCCCTGTAACTAACAGCAGCTGATATTCGGACTGATTCTAACTGGTCAGGTTCCACCTTCGATCTGCCTGGAAACAGCTCACACCGAGAATCGACAGCCTCTTATAGAGGCGTTCCCACTGACATGGAAAGTCCCTGTTCTCTGTCTGTCTGTCGGTCTCTCTTGATTATTCTGTATCTCGCTCTCTCTCTCTCTCGTTTACCCTGTGTCTTACTCATCGTGTCTGTGCCAGTGCTCACCCCACCCCACTCTGTCACTTTCAACTCTAACCCCATTCCCTGCTCTCTCTCTCTCTCTCTCTCCCCCCCATCGTGCCTGTGCTGGCGCTTGCTTTCCCCACACGGGAGCTGTCTGCTGTAACCCCATTCCCCCGCTCGCTCACTCTCTCTCTCCCCCCCCCCCCCCCCCGTGTCCATGCTGGTGCTCGCTCAAATAATTGCCAACTTCTTGCTTAAAAGTTATTATCAAATCGGCTTCCGCCGCCCTTTCAGGCAAATGCATTCCAGTATATTCTATGAAGCGCTTTGAAATGTCCTGTAGCTCAGTGGTTAGAGCACTTGCCTTGCAAGCGAGTGGTTTCAATTGCGGGCCGGGCAGAACCATGGGCAAGTTTCCTTACTCCACACGCCTGATAATAATCCCTCCAAAACAAAAGGGAGGTGAGGGGATGGGAGGGGTGGCCGATGGCATGGTCGAAAAGGAGGGTTTTGAGGAGGGACTTGAAGGAGGCTAAGGAGGGGGCGAGGAGGAGTGACTGGGGGATGGTATTCCAGAGGTTAGGAGAAGAGTGGCTGAAGGCTCTCCCGCCAATGGTGGGGCGGGTGGGTCGGGGGACGTGGAGCAGGGCAGCGCCGGCTGAGCGGAGAGCACAAGCGGGTTGGCAGGGGGTTAGGAGGTCACAGGGGTAGGGTGGGACGAGGCCATGGAGGGCTTTGTAATGTGAGGACCAGGATCTTGAACCGGATCCTCTGAAAGATAGGGAGACAGTGGAGTCGGCCGAGAGTGGGGGAGATGGCGTCACGGAGTTTGGTGCGGGAGAGGACACGGGCTGCAGAGTTCTGGATTATCTGCAGCCGGTGGAGGGAGGAGCTGAGAAGGCCGACAAGCGGGGAGTTTGCATAGTTGAGCCTGGAGGTGATGAAGGCATGAACAAGAGTTTCAGCGGCTTTTATTTTATTAAAACAATAATAAATTGGTCATTTTCAATGCATGACTGTTTGTGGGATGCTGCTGTGTGCAATTGGCTGCCGCGATTCGCCCACAAATATACAGTCAATTCACTTTACAGCATATTCTTGCAGCATCAACCTCCATGGTTGCACACTTCAACGCACCAAGCCAGTCAGGAACCTATGCGAAAGCCCAACGTGAAAGGCGCTATACAAATGTAACCTTGTTGTTGTTGTTGTTGTATTCTGTGAAGCGCTTTAGACGTCTAGAAGACATGAAAAGCGCTATATCAAAGGCAGGATTATTATTATTATTATTGTTATTATTCGCTGTCTCTCTCTTGTTTACTCTCTGTCTTGCTCTCTCTGTCTCTCTCTCTCTGTATATATCATTCGTTCTCTTTCTCGGTCACTCAGTTGGGTGGCAGCCTGGCTCAGTGCTATCGCTCTCGCCTCTGAGTTAGAAGATTGTGGGTTCAAATCGCACGTCGGGATTTGGACTCACAATGACAAAGATGACATTCCAGTGCGGTGCTGGGGTCGGGTGGGGTTTGCATTGACAGAGGAGCCGTCCTTTAGATGAGACCTTAAACCAAGCTCCAGTCTGTGCCTGTTCAGGTGGTGCTGTTTGAAAAGAGTTTCTCTCTCTCTCTCTCTCTCTCTCGGTGTCCAGGCCAACAAACCCCCAGATGAAATTGACCGCCTGTTTCATGGCTGTTTGTGGGACGTCGCTGTGCGCAAATTGAGCTGCTGCTTTTGCCTAGCAATACAGTCACTCCATTTCACAGCATATCCTGTGAAGCACCTTGGGACGTCCTTCGAACGTGAAATGGCGCTGTACCAAACGCAAGGATTATTATTATTTGAGACGCCTCAAAGCCCTTCACAGGATACACTGTAAAGTGACTTGACTGCGTGTGTAACAGAGAGAAGAGGTTGTGGGATGTGGCCGTTGAGAGTTAGCTGATCTCCTTTGTGGGGGGGAAGGGGGGGGGGGGTTCCTCAGTAAATATCCGATGGTGAGCTCACGGGGTGACGAAGGGTTAACAGTTAAAGCTGGAGGCCGGGGCGATGGACCTCACACAAGCACTTGATAAAATAACAACGACAACTTGCATTCATATAGCCCCCCCACCCGGAGCAGCATCCCAGAGCTTGACAGTAGCGGATCATGACGCTGAGCCGGGGGGAGTGGGGGGTGAGGGGAGGGGGTGGGGGGCGGGGGGTGGAAGGGTGACTGTAGCCACAATCGAAGAGGAAGGAGCCAGTGGAGCCTGGCGAGGGCCTGGGGTAACAAGAAGCAGTGTGGGGGTTGAGCACGGCTAAGAATCCTGGATGATAATCATACGGATTCCCACCCACCCCTCACGCACGCTCTCGCGCGCTCTCAGTCCCAGCCCACTCAGGTCTTGAGAGCTGCTGATGTTTGTTCAGTCTGCGGCTTATCAATTCCAGGAAACCCCAAATAAAGTGAAAGTGAAACTTAAGGCAGGTTCAGTGCCAGTGAAGCTGGGCCAGAGTCGGCACTGAGCAGTCGGACCAGCTCCCAGCTCTCTAACCCACCATGAGGGAGATCGGTATCATCTTCCAGCTCTCGGTCCTCCTCGGCCTCTCCTCTGCCACAGGTAAGCCTCCCCGAGAGGACAGGTGCATGTCAGGGTCAGTGTGAGAGCCAGAGAGAGAAGCTACCTCTCTCTCTCTCCTGCTCACTCCTCTCTCTCTCTCTCTCTCTCAGCAGCTCTCTCCGGGCTTCACAAGCCGAGATCCAAGAGCGCAACATTTGCTCGAATATTAATCACGATCCTCGCACTTCGATGCAGCGTCTTAAACAAAGAGCCTCGCTAAAGTTTGCGCAATGGGATGCGCCAGAGGCCTGAGGGAGAGGGAGGGAGAGAGAGAGAGAGAGTGCGTGCGTTGCATTAATCTGAGACGCTGTCCTTTGGACGAGACGTTAAACCTCACTTTCGTGTCTTCGGCCCGTTCAGGCAGACGTTAACGATTTCCTCCCACCCACCCACCACCCCAGACACACACACACACACACACACATACAAACACACACACACATGCACACACCCACATACACACAAACATACACACACACATACACACACATTGACAAATACAGACACACACATCGAAACAGAGACACACACACATACAGACACACACAGAATATAGAAAAACACACACACACACATACAGCCACACACATATACAGACACACACATATACCCAGTATATATATAATTAGATTGATAAATAGTCCACTCCGTAGACACCGACCTGCTTCAGGTCCCCCGCACTTCCCGCCCCGTCATTGGCGGTCAGGCATTCAGCATCTCTGCCCCCAACTCTGTAACTCTATCCCACAATCTCTCCACCTCACCCCCTCACTTGCCTCCTTCAAGTCCCATCTGAAGACCTTCCTCTTCGATTGTGCCTTCGGCCACCCTCCCACCGCCATCCCCACCCCTCCTGCCCTCTAACCCTTCTGACCCCCAACTCCCAGCTCGGGTCCAATGCCCCGGATTGTCCAGCGCCGTGGGACGTCTTTCTGAAAGTTTGATTTGTTGTTTTTGCTGTTGTAGATTTAGACAGGGCCTTTAATATTGAGAGGATGCTTCAAAGCACATCAAACATAAAAGCACATACACACACACAGAATCACACACCTAGAAACACACACCTAGAAACACACACAGACAGAAACACACAAACAAACACACAAACACACGCACACAAACACACACATAGGAACACACCCACACAGAAACAAACAGAAACGCACACACAGAGCACACACATAGAAACACACATGTAGAAACACACGCACGCTAGAAATACACACACACACGCAGAAACACACATAAAACACACACAGAAATTCACACACACACAGAAACACACACAAATACACGCAAAGAGGTACCACCACCCCCCACCCCCCACCCCCAGGGACAGCCCAAACTGCCAGAGCCCAGGGAGAGGCGAGAGGAAGTGAGCCAGTATTTGATAGTTTATCGGGGTTTAATGTCCACGGACAACTGTTGCCCTCTTTCCGCCCTCCCGCCCCCACTTCACCTCCCCCCCAACCTCCGCTGCTGCTCCCCAGCCTCGCTGCAGACTACCAGCCCCACCACAGGCGAGAGAGACGGGAACCCACAGGGCAGTTGGATGTGAACTTAGCAAGGAGCCAAGTTTCACCTAAAGTGTTATAAGTGAAAGTAAAATGGAGGCTGTGTCTGCCCTCTCTGCCTCCACAGGCGCTCCGTCACTCAAGCTCTCTCACCCTATATATACCTGGTGATGAGGGGGAGGAGAGAGAGAGAGAGAGAGAGCTGCAGTGTCGGAGGCACCGTCCTTCAGATGAGATAATACACCCTCACTCCCCGTCTGTGACTGTTCAAGTGGACTTTAAAAATCCTGTGACGCTATTGGAAAAGAGAAGGGAGTTTCTCTCTCTCTCTCTCTCTGTCCCGGCCAATGATAATAATAATAATCCTTGCGCTGATATAGTGCCTTACATGTTTTCGAGATGTCTCAAAGTGCTTCCCGGGATATACTGTAAAGTGCATTGACTGTATTGTTTGACCCTCAACTGTCCTTTCTCCCCCACATCCATGCCATGACCCGCTCTGCCATCCCCCACCTCCGCAACATCACCCGGCTCAGCCACTGCCCCCGTCAGGCTGCCGAACCCTCATACATGCATTCAAGGCTGGACTACGGAAACGCCCTTCTTGTCGGCCTCCCCCAACTCCCCCCTCCACAGGCTGCAGATCATCCAGAAATCTGCAGCTCATGTCCTCTCCCGCACCGGGCTCCATGAGCCCATCAACCCCACTCATCCCTCAGAGGATACCGTTCAAAATCCTTATCCTCACTTTCAAGGCCCTTGCACGGCCTTGCCCGCTCCTACCTCTCTGACCTGCTGACCCCTTATCAGGGCTCGCTCTGCGCAGCGGGCTCTGTCCTGCTCCATGTCTCCCGCCCAACCATCGGCGGCCGGACTCTCAGCCTCTCTGCTCCCACCCTTTGGAACTCCATCCCACAGTCCCTTCGCCTCGCTTCCTCTCTTGCATCCTTCAAGGCACAACTCAAGATCCTCCTTCTCAACCATGTCTTCAGCCGCCCTCCTACCCTTTCTGTCCTCCCTCATCCCAACCCTGTCGTCACCCACCACTCGGGGTCTGATCCCTGACTGTTCAGCACCTTGGAACTTCCTCCCAACATGAAAGGCGCTTTACAAATGTAATTTTGTTGTTGTTGTATGTTTTGTAGCCGGAACGTGGCAGACAATTGTGCACCGCAGGGTCCCACAAACACTCGTTGAGACTGTTTTTGTTTTTGTTTTGTAAAACCACCCAAGATAGGCATTTATGCAAATTAAAAATACTAAAATTCATAATAGACATCTAGGCCTGTCATTTAATACTATTTTTAATCCAACATGGGCGAAGGGAGGCGAGGCGAAGGGACTGTGGGATGGAGATCCATAGGGTGGGGCAGAAGGGCTGAAGGCCCGACTGCCGATGGTGGGTCGGGCTGGGCGGGGGGCGTGGAGCAGGCCAGAGCCTGCTGACCAGAGGGAATGGACAGGATGATATGGGGTCAGCAGATCACAGAGGGTAGGGAAGGGCAAGGCCATGGGCAACTGTATCCTCTGGGGGACAGAGTTCTGTATTCTTGTGTAACTTTGCATTGTCTACAGACTTTTACAAATCTGCCTTTTCATTACCACAATTCCCAACCACTAAATGAAGATTAAAAGTCACTTTTGATGTTGACATTTGCAGCGCACTTAAAATAATATTTGTCTAAAAAATATCAGCATGTTTTCGAAATATAAAATCAACACCATTCTCACTTTAGCTATACACAGTGTCTGCAAACAACTCACACCAAGGAACAGATTTGATCTTGGACACAATTACTCATTAGCAGCAAGAAATGCAGTTTTAGCCATCTCCATCTTTAATATCTAGAGAAACGTAAAACAATCATCTAAATATAGAAACATAGGAACAGGAGGAGGCCATTCAGCCCCTTGAGCCTGTTCCGCCATTCTAGAAGATCATGGCTGATCTGTACCTCAACTCCAATTACCAGCCCTCGCTCCGTATCCCTTAATACCCCGACCTAACGGCTATAATCCACAGCCTTTTGGGGGAGAGAGTTCCAGATTCCCACTAGCCTTTGGCTGAAAATCTCCTGCTAATTTCACTGCTAAATGGCCTGGCTCTAATTTTAAGATGATGTCTCCTTGTCCTGGATTCTCCCACTAGAGAAAATAGTTTATCTGTGGCTACCCTATCGAACTTCTTTTTTTCTTTTAAAAATCTCAATTAGTTCACCCCTCAACCTTCTGAACTCCAGGGAATCCAGATCAAGTTTATGCAACCTGTTCTCATAATTTAAGCGCTTAAACCCATATAAAACTGTTCATTCACTTCATGGCTTTCATAATATTAATAATCCTTGTATTTGATATAACGCCTTATTACATCTTCAAGATTTTTCAAAGCACTTCACACAATCAAGTGCACGTGTATATTTTGTGGGTGAAATTATGGGATATTACTGTGTGCAAATTAACTGCTGTGTTTGCTTAATATTATTATTATAATAATTGTTATTATAATATTATAATAATTGAGACTCGTAAGAAGAATAGAAGCCCATATTATTAAAGGGACAGTGGCAGCGGATACAGAACTGTCTGGGAGACAGAAAGCAGAGAGTGGTGGTGAACGGTTGTTTTTCTGACTGGAGGGAAGTGTGCAGTGGGTCCCCAGGGGTCAGTATTGGGACCACCGCTGTTTTTGATCTATAAAAATGACTTGGACTTGGGCACAGGGAGTACAATTTCCAAGTTTGCAGATGTTACTGAGCCAGGAAAAGTAGTAAATGGTGAGGAGGATAGTGGCAGCCAACAAGCGGACACGGACAGACTGGTAAAATGGGCAGACATGTGGCAGATGAAGTTTAATGTGGACAAATGAGAAGTGATGCATTTTGTGAGGAAGAATGAGGAGAGTTAATATAAGCTGATGGTACAATCTTAATGGGGGTGAAGGAACAGAGAGACCTGGGGGGTCATATAAGTAAGTCTTTGAAGGTGGGGCAGGTCAGATAGATACAACTGTTAAAAAAGCATACGGGATACGAGGCTTTATAAATAGGGGCATAGAATACAAAATTCAGGAATTTTGTGATGAACTTTATAAAACACGGGTTAGGCTTCAGTTAGAGAAGGTTAAGAGGAGACTGAAAAGTTTTCAAAATGGTGAGGGAATTCGATAGGGTGAACAGGGAGAAACTATTCCCACTGGCGGGTGGGTCAGTAACCCGAGGACACCGATTTAAAATAGTTGTTAAAAGAAATAGAGGGAAGGGGAGGAGACATTTTTTCACGCTGTGAGTTGTTGGGATCTGGAATGCATTGCCTGAAAGGCTGGTGGAAGCCGATTCGATAACAACTTTTAAGAGAGAAGTAGATAATTATTTGGGGAGGACAAGTTGCAGAGCTATGGGGAGAGCGCGGGGAGTGGAATTCATTTAAAAGCTCTTTTCAAAGAGCCGGCACAGACACGATGGGCTGAATGGCCTCCTTCTGTGCTGTATAATTTTATGATTCTATGAATAATCATTGCATTTGTTACCGCGCCTTATCGTGTGGGAAGGACGTCTCAAAGCGCTTCACGGGATTTACTGTGAAACGGAGTGATCCATAGTAACTGCACTTGTATGCACTTGTGGAGTCCTGTAGCTCAGTGGTTAGAGCACTCGCTTTGCAAGTGAGAGACCTGAGTTCAATTCCAGGCAGAGGGCCAAACCTCGGGCAAGTTTCCTTACCCCACACAGAGCCTAATAATAATCCTCCAAAACCAAAAACAATAATAAATTGGTCATTTTCAATCCACGACTGTTTGTGGGACATTGCTGTGCGCAATTGGCTGCCGCGTTCGCCCACAAACATACAGTCAATTCACTTTACAGTGTGTTCTGTGAAGCGCTTTGGGATGTCCTCCCGACGTGAAAAGCGCTATATCAAATGCAAGGATCGTTATTATTATTATTATTATTATTATGAAGCTCTTTGAGCCGTTTCACTGAGGTTAGGAGGTGCTGCACCAAATATTGATACAGTGGACGCCACTTAAGCCAGACATGTCAGGGCTGGCCGTTTTGTCCGGTTTAAGTGGCGTCTGAGGCTAACTGATGTTTCCTTACCTTTTCCCACCCAGCAGAGGAGCAGTGGCGCCTCCTCCCTACCTCCCATTACTGCTCCCATTGGACAGGAAGGGGACCAATTAGCGGAGGCTCCCAGGTGATGGACAGCCACTTGTGCTTGGATGGGCTCCACCATTCACAAACACCGGGTTTGCCCATCAATCACGATTAGATTCCTTTCATTCCTTCCCTTGTTCCTTCCTGTTCCTCTGCGCTCCCCCAACCCCTCCCACCCCCCCAGCCTCGTGCTGCTTCTGAATGGCTGGAGTCACTGTTAATCAATTGCAATTCGACTCCTCCCATCGCCACCCTCTCGAGACGCGGAGTGAGTTAACGCAGCAGCAAATATCTCGGCGTATCGCTCGAGTTAATTGAAATGTTTAAAAAAGAAGTAAGAATACAAATGAATCGGCGGCCTTTTTGTCTGATTTACCCAGCGGCTGGGGGTTAACAGGCGTCCGGCTAAAGCGGCTTCCACTGTATTATAATAATAATGCAAGGATTTGATATAGCGCCTATCAGCGCCTATAGACACCTCAAAGCCCTTCACAGAATATACTGTTAAGTGAATCGACTGTGTACTTTGTGGTGAAAAACAGCAGCCAATTGCGCACAGCAGCGTCCCACAAACCGTCACGGATTGAAGTGACCAATTATTTTTTGAAGGAATTATTATTGGGAATTATAAGTACTGTGAGACGTCTCGAAGAAGTGAAAAGCGCTATATCAAATGCAAGGATTATTATTATTATTATTATCCCCGGAAAACTGATCCGTATAATAGTCTAATAACCGGGTTCCTACTTACTCATCGGTAAACAGAGACGTGTGGAATAGGGAAACTTGCCCAATATTTCACGCTGTCAGGAATCAAACCCACGTCTCTCGCTTGCGAGGCGAGTGCTCTAACCATTGAGCTACAGGACTCTGTGATGTACAATATAAAGTCTCCAGGGATGATCTTAAGGTTAGAATGAACGAATCAACGATGTGTGGGACCGGACCGGAAGCACAGAGTGTTTGGAGATGTGAGTGGGTTTGGGAATCTCTGGGAATAGATGTGCGACTCGTGTCTTGGCTGACTGTCTGTGTCTCTCCTCTCCCTCAGTACCCGGCCTGCCCCCCTCGCCGGGGGATGTGCTGGTGGATTGCTGGTACATCGAGGAAGGGGGCGGCCAGAGAGGCAGTTTCCCGAAAGCCGTGACTCAGGAAAAATCCCAACTTCACCTGCGCCGCGTCTCACACAAACCCGGAGCCGAGCAGGACATCCCCGAGCGGGTCTCCCCGAACGCGGACTTGAAACCCGGAATGCTGTTTGACGTCACAGGTGAGGCCGGTTCTGTCACACGCAGCGACACGTGAGTTCATTGTATTTTGCATGACATCGTCTCGGAGCTGAACTGGCTCCAAGGTGACGAGCCTAGCAATGGGATGTCGGAATCGAGCCAACCCTGCGTGACGGTATCTCGCCCGGTTCCTGAGCCACGAGGGTCCACAGTATTCCAGGGCACTGCTGATGACAGCACAGCCCGGCCTGGCCCAACCAGGACCTGGAAGAGCAGACCAGTCACTGGGGGCAGGGAATCCTCTCACTCAGCTCCTGTTAACCCTATAGCCAAAGCCCTATCGGGTCGGGTGGTCCTGGCTGGACAAGCAGCGGGAAAGTTCCCCAGACAGTGATATCCATGGCAAACTGCGTGGTTTTACCTGGTTAGTCTCCAGCAATTACCCGATGCACACTCTGGGATCCCCCAAGTTCTGGCTCTCGCCAACCTGCGCTGAATCCTCTCTGGGATTAAGTAAACCGGATATGTCCCTCCAGGGAGGGAGAGTCTGAATCCCGTTCCAGACACGGGGAGACGGGGAGGCTTCCGCGCGGAGGCTTAAGTGACTCTCAGTCTAGATTGGAGACTGCTTAAGTACGGTGATGGGTTTCTGCGTGTGTCTGAATCCGACCTGGTCCCAAAAACTAGTTAACGGAGATTTCTTTTTCGCGTCAATGACTAGATTATTGGAACGTGATCTGTGACCCCGGGTTTCGACGCCTTGAGCTGGCGGCCCCGAAGCCTCACTGCGAGATTAACAATTACGTGCCCCAGGATTCCCACGTGCTGTGGGCTCAGGGCCTGACCCAGGACCAGAAGACCCCGGCCTACGCCTCAGGCTCCTGGTTCTCCTCCGACATCCAGGCGGCCGACGGGAACCTCCGTGTGGCCAGTGTCCACCGGCTGGTCTCAGCCCCCGGAGAGCCGGGCACCGCCCCACGGAAAACATCAGGTACCGTGGGGGGGGGCGGGGGGGGGCGGGCAATAATGTGTGGGCTCCACGCTCCCAGCAACCGCATCCCCATTCACCCGCACATGCACACGCACGCTCACACACAGGCACACGCATGTGCACGTACATACACACACACACACACAGTAGGTCAACTCTGACCCCAACCTCCACTGACTCATGTTCCCACTGACTTCAGTTCCTTTGCCTGTATCTCGGTGGTTCTCTCTCTCTCTCGGCGTCGGCCCGTGTCTCTGTCTGTCTGCTCCTCTCTGCCTGTCTCTCTCTGTCTGTCTGTCTGTCTGTCTGTCTGTCTGTCTGTCTGTCTGTCTGTCTGTCTGTCTGTCTGTCTGTCTGTCTGTCTGTCTGTCTGTCTGTCTGTCTGTCTGTCTGTCTGTCTGCCTGTCTCTCTCTGTCTGTCTGTCTGTCTGCCTGTCTCTCTCTGTCTGTCTGTCTGTCTGTCTGTGTGTGTGTGTGTGTGCGTGTGTGCGTGTGTGTGTAACCTCTGTCTGCCTGTGTGTGTGTGTGTGTGTGTGTGTAATCTCTGTCTGCCTGTGTGTGTGTGTAACGTCCTCTCTCCCTGTTGGCAGTGGTGCTGAACGTGTTCACACGCTCTGCGCTGGTGCGCACACGCCTGGGGGGGGACGTGCTGCTGGACTGTGGATTTACGATGGACAGACAGACGGGCTTCGGGGTGGAGTGGCGTTACCAGTACAAGGGCAGCGGACACCTGGTCTACGCCTATCACGGACCCCGAGACCAGGTCCACGTGGCCCGGGACGGCACTGAGATGCTCTTCTATGAGCTGCACAGTCAGGGAAACGCGTCACTCCTCATCCGCAACGTCACTCTGGAGCACGAGGGCACTTACATCTGCACCGTCTACACACCCAACCTCCACACACAGCAGTCAATAGACCTGGAGATCGCAGGTACACACCGCCCCCACACACAGCACCGCGCGCACACACACACACACAGCACCGCGCGCACACACACACACAGCACCGCGCGCGCACACACACACACACACAGCACCGCGACACACACACACACACACACACACACACACACACACACAGCACCCGCGCGCACACACACACACACACACACACAGCACCGCGCGCACACACACACACACACACACACAGCACCGCGCGCACACACACACACACACACACACAGCACCGCGCGCACACACACACACACACACACAGCACCGCGCACACACACACACACACACACACAGCACCGCGCGCACACACACACACACACACACACACAGCACCGCGCGCACACACACACACACACACACACAGCACCGCGCGCACACACACACACACACAGCACCGCGCACACACACACACACACACACACACAGCACCGGGCGCACACACACACACACACAGCACCGCGCGCACACACACACACACACAGCACCGCGCGCGCACACACACACAGCACAGCGCGCACACACACACAGCACCGCGCGCACACACACACACACACACAGCACCGCGCGCACACACACACACACACACACACACACAGCACCGTGCGCGCACACACACACACAGCACCGCGCGCGCACACACACACACACACAGCACCGCGCGCACACACACACACAGACACACACACAGCACCGTGCGCGCACACACACACACACACAGCACCGCACGCACACACACACACACACACACACAGCACCGCGCGCACACACACACACAGACACACACACAGCACCGTGCGCGCACACACACACACACACAGCACCGCACGCACACACACACACACAGCACCGCGCGCGCACACACACACACACACACACAGCACCGCGCGCACACACACACACACACAGCACCGCGCACACACACACACAACACCGCGCGCACACACACACACACAGCACCGCGCGCAACACACACACACACACAGCACCGCGCACACACACACACACACACACACACACAGCACCGCGCGCACACACACACACACACAGCACACAAACACAGACTCTTCACACACAGCACAACAAAGACTCCTCACACACACACAGCACAGACTCCTCACACATACACAGACTCCTCACACACATACAGCATCACACACACACACACTGATACCTCACACACACAGCAACACACACACAACACACACAGACTCCTCACACACACACACACACACAGACTACTCACACACAGCATATACACACACACACTCAAAGACTTCACACACACAAACTGATGCCTCACACACATACAACACAGTGTGCACATACACACTGACTCCTCACACACACATTCAGCACATCACACACACACACACATACACACTGACTCCTCACACACACATTCAGCACATCACACACACACACACATACACACTGACTCCTCACACACAGATGCACACACTGACTCTTCACACACACACACATTGATGCCTCACACACACACAGCACAGTGTCAACCCACACTGACTCCTCACACACACAGCACTACACACACACACTAACTCATCACACACACAGCACCACACATACACACACTGACTCCTCACATACACATACAATAACTCCTCACACACACGCACACACAACACACACACATGCACACACTGACTCCTCACACACACAGCACCACATGCACACACACACACAAACATACACACTGACTCCTCACACAAACACACACACTGACTCCTCACACAAACACACATACTGACTCCTCACACACATACTCACACACACACTGACTCCTCACACACACAGCACCACATGCACACACACACACAAACACACACACTGACTCCTCACACAAACACACATACTGACTCCTCACACACATACTCACACACACACTGACTCCTCACACACACAGCACCACATGCACACACACACACAAACACACACACTGACTCCTCACACAAACACACATACTGACTCCTCACACACATACTCACACACACACTGACTCCTCACACACACACACACACACACATGCCTCACACACAGCACAGCACAGTAACACACACACTGATTCCTCACACACACACTGATTCCTCACACACACAGCACCACACACACACACTAACTCATCACACACACAGCACCACACACACACACACAAACACACACACACTGACTCCTCACACACACACTGACTGCTCACACACACACACACTGACTCCTCACACATACACACACTGACTCCTCACACACACACTCATACACACTGACTCCTCACACACACAGATCACACACACATGCCTCACACACAGCACAGCACAATTACACACACACACACACACTGACTCCTCACACACACAGATCACACACACATGCCTCACACACAGCACAGCACAATTACACACACACACAGACACACACACTGACTCCTCACATACACAGCACAACACACACACACGCACGCGACAACACACACACACGTACAAACACTGACTCCACACACACACCACCACACACACACACTGACTTCTCACACACACACACTGACACCTCACACACACATACAGCACAGTGCGCGTGCACACACTGACTCCTCACACACACACTCACACACACACTGACTCCTCACACACACACAGAGCAGACACACTGACTCCTCACACAGCACAGCACACATACACACACACACTGACTCCTCACACACACATACACACACACACACTAACTCCTCACACACACGCCCACACAACACACACACACTGACTCTTCACACACACATACACACACATGCAAACACTGACTCCTCACACACACGCCCACACAACACACACACACTGACTCTTCACACACACATACACACACATGCAAACACTGACTCCTCACACACACGCCCACACAACACACACTGACTCTTCACACACACGCATGCACAACACACACACACACATGCAAATACTGACTCCTCACACACACACACTGACTCCTCACACACAGCACCACACACACACACTCCTCACACACACTAACTCCTCACACACACGCACAACACATGCACGCACACATGCACACACTGACTCCTCACACACACGCACAACACAACACACATGCAAACACTGATTCTTCACACACACACGGATGCCTCACACACACATACAGCACAGTGCGTGCACACACACTGACTCCTTACACACACACACACACTGACTCCTTACACACACACACACACACAGACTCCTCACACACACACTGACTCCTCACATACACACACACTCACACACATATGCACTGACCCCTCACACACACACACACACACAGACTCCTTGCACACACACATGCCTCACACACAGCACACACACACACACAGCACACACAGATATACACACTGATCACACACACACACAGCACACATACACACGCAGCATACACACACAGCACAACACACACAGACATACTCACTGACTCCTCACAGACGCATAGCACAACACACGCACGCACACATGCCCACACTGACTCTTCACACACACGCACGCACAACACACACACACATGCAAACACTGACTCGTCACACATACACTGACGCCTCACACACACATACAGCACAGTACGCAAACATACACTGACTCCTCATACACACAGCACAGCACACACTCCTCACACACACAGCACCACACACACACACTGACTCTTCACACACAGCACCACACACACACACACACACTGACTCCTCACACACACTAACTCCTCACACACACGAACAACACATGCACACATGCAAACACTGATTCTTCACACACACACTGTCGCCTCACACACACATACAGCACAGTGCGTGCACACACACTGACTCATCACACACACACAGCGCAGTACACACACACACTGACTCTTCACACACACACTCCTCACACACACACAGTGCAGCGTGCACACACACACACACACTGACTCCTCACACACAGCACCGGACGCACACACACATACACACACTGACTCTTCACACACAGCACCGCACACATATACACACACACACACACAAACTGACTCCTCACACACACATACTGCGCACACAGCACAGCACGCATATACACACACACAGCACACGCACAAGCACACACTCGTCACTCACAGCACACACACACACAATCCTCACACACAGCATACACACACATACCCTCACTCCTCACATACAGCATAGCACACACCTACGCTCACATACGCACACACACCCACACAGCACCACACAGCACACACAAATACACAGCACACACTCAAATACACACACAGCAGACACATACACGCATGCACTCATTCCTCACACACAGCACACACACACAATGCTCACACACAGCACACACACACATACACTCACTCCTCACCCACAGCACAGCATACACACATAGACTCACATACACACACTCACATACACCTGCACACACAGCACCACGCAGCACACACACATGCACACATACACAGCACACACTCACAAACACACACAGCACACACATACACACATGCACTCACTCTTCACACAAATCACATACACTCACATACACCAACACGTATAAACGCACACATACAGCATGTACACACACTGCTCACACATAACAAACACACACACAGCACACACACTCACTCCTCACACACAGTACACACACAGCACACATATACACACAGCACATACACACACACATACACAGCATACACAAACACAGCGCAACACATACACGCACATTCACATACACACACACGCATACATACTCAACACAAACATACATACTCACTCCACACACAGCACAACACACGCACATACACACACGCATACATCACACATAAACACATACAGACAGCACAGCACACACACACATATACACACATACACATAGTACACACAGCGCACACACATACATACACACATAGCACACACACATTCACATATACACACACACATAAACCATACATACATACAGACACACACACAGACATACATACATACATACATACATACATACAAAGACACACAAAGACACAAATATATACATAGCACAACGCATACACACACACAGTACTGCACACACACAAAGTAAAGCACACAGAAACACACAGTACAGCACACAGCCACACACGCACACATTACAGCACACACACAGTACAGCATACACAGCACATTATAGCACACACCATACATACCGTGTTGTGAGCACAAGCCCCTGTCTGTGTGTGTCTGTGTGTGTGTGTGTGCGTGTGTGTGTGTCTGTGTGTGTGTGTGTGTCTGTGTGTCTGTGAGTGTGTGTGTGTGTGTGTGTGCGTGTGTGTGTGTGTCTGTGTGTGTGTGTGTCTGTGTGTGCGTGTGTCTGTGTGTGTGTGTGTGAGTGTGTGTGTGTCTGTGTGTGTGTGTGTGTGTGAGTGTGTGTGAGTGTGTGTCTGTGTGTGTGTGTGTGTCTGTGTGTGAGTGTGTGTGTGTGAGTGTGTGTGTGTGAGTGTGTGTGAGTGTGTGTCTGTGTGTGTGTGTGTCTGTGTGTGAGTCTGTGTGTGTGTGTGAGTGCGTGTGTGTGTGTGTGTGTGTGTGAGTGTGTGTGAGTCCGTCCCTCACTCCCCGCCCTGTGCTGTATTTGCCCAGAGCCCCCGAAGGTGACCCTGAGCCCTGACCCGCTGTACGCGGTGCCGGGAGGGGAGGAGAGGCTGAGCTGTGAGATCACCCGGTATTACCCGCTGGACGTCAGTGTCCGGTGGGTGAGGGCGATGCCCGGGGTCGCCAACAGCTCCCAGGAGGTGAGGAGGTCCTGGCAGAGCGGCCACCACCAGAACCCCGACGGCACCTACAGCATCAGCAGCTACATCCAGATCCAGCCCCAGGCCAGCGATCACGGAGCCGTCTACACCTGCACCGTCCAACACGTCTCCGTCACGCAACACGTCAGGAAAAGCATCACCTTGAGGGTCGCAGGTAACCGGAGCATTCCGCTACAACAACAACAACAGCAACAACCACATCAACCACAACATCAACTACAACCACCACAACAACCACCACAACAACAACATCAACTACAACCACCACAACAACCACAACAACCACAACAACCACAACATCAACTACAACCACCACAACAACCACAACAACCACAACAACCACAACATCAACTACAACCACCACAACAACCACAACAACAACCACATCAACCACAACATCAACTACAACCACCACAACAACCACCACCACAACAACAGCAAAAACAGCCACAACAATGACCACAACAACAACAGCAACAACCACAACAACCACAACATCAACTACAACCATCACAACAACCACAACATCAACTACAACCATCACAACAACCACAACAACAACAACCACATCAACCACGAGGTCAACTACAACCATCACAACAACCACCACCACAACAACCACAAAAACAACAACCACATCAACCACAACATCAACTACAACCACCACAACAACCACCACCACAACAACCACAACAACAACAACCACATCAACCACAACATCAACTACAACCATCGCAACAACCATCACCACAACAACAGCAATTACAAAAACAACAACAACAACCACAACAACAACAACCACCACCACAACAACAGCAAAAACAACCACAACAATGACCACAACCACAACAACCACAACAACCACAACAACCACAACAACCACAACAACCACAACAACCACAACAACAGGAAAAACAACCACAACAACAACCACCACCACAACAACAGGAAAAACAACCACAACAATGACCACAACCACAACAACAACAACCACCACAACCACAACCACAACAACAGCAACAACAACAACCACAACAGCAACCATCACCATAACAACAACAATCACAAAAACAACAACCACAACAACATCAACAACTTTTAACAACATCAATAACATCAGCAACATGAACAACATGAACAACATCAATAACTTCAACAACATTAACAACATCAACAACATCATCAACAACATTAACATTAACGCGTACCTGTAGCACATTTCACATCGGGAGGACGTCCCAAGGCGCTGACAACAACATTATCCTATAACATCAATAACAATAATATTATCAACAGTAACACCAACACGGATCACATCATCAACAACAACCACCACCACATCCACAACGACAACACCATCAGTACACTCACACTCATATTAAGGCATTTCATATAGAATAAGGTGAGGAGACATTTTTTCACACAGCGAGTTGTTGGGATCTGGAATGCATGACCTGAAAGGCTGGTGGAAGCCGATTCGATAGCAACTTTTAAGAGAGAAGTCGATAATTATTTGGGGAGGACAAGTTTGCAGGGCTATGGGGAGAGAGCGGGAGAGTGGGATCGATTTGGATAGATCTTTTCAAAGAGCCGGGACAGACACCATGGGCCGAATGGCCTCCTTCTGTGGGCCATTCGGCCCATGGTGTCTGTGCCAGCTCTTTGAAAAGAGCTATATAATTCTATGATTCTAAGGTCTTGGGTTGCCCGTGGCAAGGTTGGACATCAAGCAGGGGGAGGGGAGGGGACTAAGTGACAAGAAGCACAGTCAAAGAGTTGGGATTTGAAGACAGATAGAGAGGCGGTGAGACAGAGGGGCAGAAGGTAGTGGTTTAATGACTAGCACAGTCATACACAGACACAAAAGGCCAAATAGCCTCCTTCTATGCTGTGTAATTCTCCGATTCTATGACTGAAGACTCGACCACTAATGGTAGTGTGATGAGGGGAGTGCTGGGGACACACAGCATGCAGTTAGCAAAGCAGAACTGTGACACTATCACCAGCTTACTTTGGGGTGCCATACGGAGGAAGGGTCTATCCGGAACAGCCCCACCTTTGCACTGTTGTGGATTGTTTGGAGCACTCGCCTCGCAAGCGCGAGGAACCTGGGTTCAATTCACAGCCGGGGGCGAAACCTGAGGCAAATTTCCTTACCACATACACACACACACACACACTAATAATCCTTGCATTTGATATTTGATATAGCCCTTTTTTACGTCTTCTAGACGTCTCAAAGCGCTTCACAGAATATGCTGTAAAGTGAATTGACCGTATATTTGTGGGTGAAACGCAGCTGCCAATTGCGCACAGCAGCGTCCCCACAAACAGTCGTGGATTGAAAGTGACCAATTTATTATTGTTTTGTTTTTGAAGGGATTATTATTAGGCTCTGTGTGGAGTAAGGAAACTTGACTACCTGGAATTGAACCCAGGTGTCTCTGAATTGAACCGCTGAGCTCCACGCCCCTCTTAACCTAGCAGGAAGTGGTAACCCGGTTGTTAGCTGATTGGTGGATCGCTTTCTGGGGATAATAATCCCTTAAAAAAACATAATAAAAAATAATAATTTGGTCACTTCAATCCACGACTGTTTGTGGGACACCTCTGTGCACAATCGTTGGCCGGGTTTCCCCCACAAAATCTGCAGTCAATTCACTTTACTGTATATTCTGTGAAGCGCTTTGAGACATCTCAACAATGTGACCAGATGCTATACCATATGCAAGGATTATTATTATTATCACTGGGGGGGAGGGGGGGGTTCTTGAGAGGGGAGCAATTGGATGTGTATCGGAAGCCGCCCCCCGCGCCCCCAAACCTCTGTTTACACTGAGGGTCTCGGGTTAAGGGATGGAGGGAGGATTATGTCTCCCAGCATCTCGGGGAAGGCAGGGGAGCATGATAGACCCTCAGACTGACCATCAATGTTGACTCTCTTGCTCTCTCGTTCTCTGTGTCTGTCTCAGGAGCTGCTGGGCCCTCTATAGAGGATATAATGGGGCTGCTTATTTGTGCCTTTGTCCTTTATGGAGTCCTGAGGCTGATCTTCTGGATCTACAATAAATCAGGTAAGTGACTCACTCCCCACGTCCATTACTGGATCACAAGGTGGGTTTGATCACCTCCTCTCAGACCTCCTGCTCGCCTGACCTCCCATCCAGCTGCTTCTTAAACGAGTTCAGCGTCTTGGCCTCAGCCACCGTTCTAAGTCTGCTCGCTCTGCTCAGCGGTCTCCGGCCTGCTGCATGTCCCCCGACCACCTCTCCCCACCCATCTGCGGTCGGGCCTTCAGTCTCTCTTGCTCCCACCTTTTGGAACACCATTCCACAGTCCTTCTCTTGCCTCCTTCAAGACCCTTCTCAGATCCTCCTCTTCAACTGTGCTTTCGGTCGCCCACCCACACCCACCCCCACCCTCCCTCCTCCCCGACCTTCCGATCCCAACCACCAGCTCAGGTCCACACCCCTGACAGCCCGACACCCTGGGATGTCCTCCCGACATGAACAGTGCCGTGGAAATGTAATTTTGTATTGTATTGAATTCCACAATCCTCAACCATAACAAACTCTGCCCCCACCCCCCGCCCCACCCCCTCCGCCCCCAGTCCTGACCAGGGCCTCACTGGCTCCCTTCACAGAATGGATTGATTTCCTGGATTCTCGCGCTCGCATACAAAGTGGAGTCCTGTAGCTCAGTGGTTAGAGCACTCGCTTTGCAAGTGAGAGAGACCTGAGTTCAATTCCAGGCAGAGGGCGAAACCTTGGGCAAGTTTCCTTACTCCACACAGAGCCTAATAATAATCCCTCCAAAACCAAAAGCAATAATAAATTGGTCATTTTCAATCTACGACTGTTTGTGGACATTGCTGTGCGCAATTGGCTGCCGCGTTCGCCCACAAACATACAGTCAATTCACTTTACAGTGTGTTCTGTGAAGCGCTTTGGGACGTCCTCCCGACGTGAAAAGCGCTATATCAAATGCAAGGATTATTATTATTATAGGATTATAAAGTGGGAGGGAGAGAAAGTGTAAAGAAAATGTTCATAAATCTCTGTTGTTTTTTGCTTCTAGTTTATCCTCTGATCTTCGGCTCGGTTCAGCAAGAGAAGGTGAGAAAATAAAACCTCCCAAATATCATCACCGACCATCGGCCCGGAAACCCGATCTCCCCCCCCAACCCTGACCCCAAACTTAACCACTGACCCCAAACCCAACCTCAACCCCTGACCCCCTGACCACCAACCTCAACCCTTCACCCCTGACCCTAACCTCAACCCCTCACCCTTGACCCCAACCTCAACCCCTGACCACCAAACTCAACCCTTCACCCCTGACCCTAACCTTAACCCCTCACCTCATCCCCAGTCCTGAAATGCCCCAGACTTGACCGCTGACCCCTGACAGCCCCTGTTGCTGTCTTCAGTAACGCTGTCTGTCCTCTTTGCCCCTCAGGAGAAACGTAATTGAATCGGTGACTGCGGTGAAGAGAAGAAAGAATGATGGTGAGCGTGAGCTGAACAAACGATCGCACTCTCCCCCCCCACTCACCGCCCTCCCGCAGTGTCTGGGCTGTCACACAGTGACTGGCTGATGCTATATTATAGCGAGGATTACTATTATTATTTATTAATATTTTCTAAGTCGGGAAGACAGGGTTGGTGATTTCTTTCATGTGTCAGCCGGGCTCAGCTGGTAGCGCTCTTCTCTCTTAAGTCAGAAGGTTGGGGGTTCAAGCCCCAGGTCAGAGTCTTGGAATAACATTGTCTAAGCTGATGCTCTCCAATGCAGTGATGGGGTGAGCTGCATTGTCGGAGGTGCTGTCCTTCGGGCGAGACATTATTAAACCTCAGTCCCTGTCCGTGTCTGGTGGACGTTAAAGATCCCGCAATTAGAAAAGAGAAGGGAGGCTTTCTCTCTGTCCCGCGGTGTCTTGGCCAACAATCCCCTCAGATAAAACTGGTGATTCACTTCGCGGCTGCTAATGGAGGTTTGCTGTGTGCCAGTGTGCCGCGTTTGTCTACAAAACACGCTCACGGCGTTCTGCAGTGAATCCTGTGAAGAAGCGCTTTGGGATATCCTGACGTGAAATGCGCTCTATGAAATAATAATCATAATCCTTGCATTTGATACAGCGCCTTATCAGGTCTTCGAGACGTCTCAAAGCGCTTCACAGAATCTACTGTAAGGATTGTAGGATTATTAAGTGGTGGGATGGCTTGTGAATGGACGAACAGTGACTAACTGTGGGCTGTGTTTTCAGAGCGGCCTTTGGGCGGACACAGGGAAGCTGTGAAGTGGATGGTGAACTTGAAGTGGACGCTCCCCCCTTCCATCCTCCCCCACACCCGTCCAGACTCCATCTCCGCACAATCTGCTTTGTATTTTTGTATTTTTTTTTGCTGTGATTCTCTGCCTCGGGATTTTCTTTGTAGTCTGGCTGTGAATCGGACTGTGCTGTGTACATACTGCGCTGCTGAAGGGGTTAAACTGCCCAACGTCGGGGGAAACTAAGGGGAAGGGGAAACAACAAGAACTACTTGCCCCAAAGCATCTCAGGCCTGGGGAAGGGGTGGGAACAAGAGGTAAGGGGGGGTGGGATAGGGGCTGGGACATGAGGGGTGCGAGAGGGGGGAGGGAGGGAGAGGGAGGGAGGGGGAATGAGAAGCAGGAGACGGAGAGAATAATTCTGATTTAAGGTTTGGTTTCGCGGCTCTGAGTGCTGGCAGTCATTTTAAATGGGATTGAAAAATTACTCACTGAGCAATGATTTAAGACGCACCAAGTCCCCAATATGGGAGCTTGATCATTTGCAGCTTCCAAGCAGAGGCGAGAGTGCTACCAACTGAGTCAGGCAGACGGACAGTAATGCAAACGTGGAAATACTCCACATGGAAAAAACATGGAGTCCTGTAGCTCAGTGGTTAGAGCACTTGCTATGCAAGTGAGAGACCTGAGTTCAATTCCAGGCAGAGGGCGAAACCTTGGGCAAGTTTCCTTACTCCACACAGAGCCTAATAATAATCCCTCCAAAACCAAAAACAATAATAAATTGGTCATTTTCAATCTACGACTGTTTGTGGGACATTGCTGTGCGCAATTGGCTGCCGCGTTCGCCCACAAATATACAGTCAATTCACTTTACAGTGTGTTCTGTGAAGCACTTTGGGACGTCCTCCCGACGTGAAAAGCACTATATCAAATGCAAGGAATATTATTATTACTCTAAATTGTCTCGTTTGGCAAATTGTACATGTTTTTGAAGTCTGCAAATACTGTGAGCGTGCAATTTCTATAGATGTGTAAACTGCGCATATTAGATGACTGAGCAAATAAAGAATCAAACGGGGAAACCAAATGAATAGAAAGGCCTCAATTTATTGTCTAATTCTCTGGATAATGCCACCGAATCGAATATAAACACGTGGGCGTCCCCGACGTCTGCTGGTCACAAGTGGAACTGCAGCAGGTCTCAGCACCACTTTGCACATCACACGGCCCAATTTTGGCCCTGATTGTAATGTGTGGAAAGTGATGTGTTCTCCATAGGGAACGGTTAGAAAAAGGAATCGAGCATCCAGCGTGCAGTGCCCACAATCCACAGAAACTCACAGAACTCAGACCACATGACTGTCCAGCGCCTTTGGACATCCTCCCGACCTGATTTACAAGTGTAATTTTGCATAGTGGATCAATCCTACCCAAAGGAGTGTTGAGCAGAACGAGGCTGATCTCTAGTGTTAGAGGAATCAGCTATGAGTTGGGTCAATAGAACATTTTTACAAAAAAATTGTGGAACACTTTACAAATCCTGTGGGAAATTGCAGAAGGCTCTGTTAAATTTTGCAGGGGTTGATAGGTGCGATTGAGGTAGATTTTACTGCAAAATTTTTTCACTTTATTGATAAAAACTAAACATACGGAAATAACACATATTAGATTATTCCAAAAATAATTATTAATTGTTGAACTGCACCTGTGTGTCCGGAGCCTTTTCGCCCACAGCGATGTTTTATCATAAAATTGTACAGCACAGAAGGAGGCCATTCGGCCCATTGTGTCTGTGCCGACTCTTTGAAAAGAGCTTCCAAATCAATCCCACTCCCCGCTCTCTCTCCATAGTCTTGCAAACTTTTCTTCCCCAAACAATTATCCAACAGATTATTTGACAGAGGTGTAAATATATTTTGATGGCAAGCTCAATTGTGTTTGTACATAATTTACCTTGATATGTGTTATCTTCTACTCAATTTATGTGCAGTAAGAATTGCCGTGATTGCATCTCATACTATTAGCATAGGAGTAATAATGAAAATAAGATTTAACCTTGAGGTAGTTCAGAGTATTAAAGAGAGTAGTTTTAATGTGTTCACCTCACTATACTCATCATGTATCAAAAAAGAAATCCTAGGATTGAAGAATATGACCGTATATGATGCACAATAAAGCATTGGAGAAAGTTCAGTACTGACGTTGTGTGGTAACCTGTGAAAAGTGCAATCATACTGTTCCTCAGATTATTCGCTCATTCCTGATAGAATTTTGCATTTTATTTACGTTCTTTGAACTTAGAGTTAAGTCTAAAATATCCAATAATTACCTTCGAATTACGTATTACACACCAACATCCAACCACATGGAGCCCTGCAGCTCAGAGGATAGAGCACTGGCTTTGCAAACGAGAGACCTGGGTTTGATTCCCGGCAGGGTGAAACGTTGAGCAAGTTTCCTTACTCCACACGTCGCTTTTACTTAGCAGTAAGCAGAAACTTGGTTGTTAGTCGATTGGTGGATCGTTTTTCCGTGAGTAATAATTGCTTCAAACAAATAATAATAACAATAGATTGGTCACTTCAATCCACAACTGTTTGTGGGACGCTGCTGTGCGCAATTGGCTGCCGCGTTTCTCCCACAAAATATACAGTCAATTCACTTTACAGTATAATTCTGGGAAGGGCTTTGAGATGTCTTGAAGACGTGATAAGGCGTTATACCAAATGCAAGGATTAATATTATTATTATCCTGACCGACAATGTCCCAGATAGATTTGAGTCGCTGACCAGCCCTTGGATTCAAAGGATTGAATAAAATCATTTACAGTAAATCCTACGAAGCACTTTGAGACAGTTCACTGACATATTAAAGAGATGTATGAAATGCCAGGATTATTGCTATTGTAATTATACTAGATTTGGGAATCTAAAATATAACATTGCATAGATACCTTGTATTTGGTACAGTGGTCCCAGACACTGCTCAGGATGTACTGTAATGTACTGCAGTGTATCCAACTGTATATCAACCACTCCACTCCCTCCGCTCAGAAGGCTCTGACCTGCTTCATATCCCCCGCCTGGCTCACTCCTCCATCACCTGCCGGGCCTTCAGCCTCTCTGCCTCTACCCTTAGAACTCCATCCTTTGCCTCTCCCCTTTCCTTGCCTCCTTCCTCACGTCTCAACACCCACCTCTTTGACTGAGCCTTTAGCCACTCTCCCACCCTCCCTGCCCTCCACCCACCCTAAACCCGTCCCCAGCTCGGGTCCGAAACACTGACTGTCCAGAGCCTTAGGACGTCCTCACAATGTGAAAGGCGCTGTGGAAATGTAATTTATTGTTGTAGTGACTGAGTGATTTGAGGAGACAGCTCATGTGAAGACTGTGAAGACAGGCAAGTTATTGCTGTTAATGTTTATTAAATGAAAGGGTTTCGGTTTAAAACAATGAACAGAAACTAGACAATCTGGTTCATTGTGAGGGCTGACTAGCCCTTGCAGCCGTTGGTTTCAAAGGATTGAATAAAATCATTGACGGCTTTACAGGCGTTTCTGTATTTGGAGAGAAGACATTGGTCGTCAGATGGGATCTCCTCAATCCAGGTCTTAGAGTCCAGGACATACTGTATCCTGTACAGGGTGGGGGGAGGCGGGGAAAGAGGGAGCAGGGAGAGGAGGGGAGAGAGAAGGGGAAGAGAGGAGGAAGAAGGAGAGAGAGAGAGAGGGAGGGAGAGAGAGAGGGAAAGGGAGCAGAGAGGGAGGGAGAGAGAGGGAGGGGGAGGAGAGGGAAGGGGGCAAGAGAGGGGAGAGAAAGAGAGAGAGGAAGAGAGATGGAGGGGATTGGGTGGAAGGGAAGAGGATGGAGATAAAAAGGTGGGAGAGTGAGAGAATCAGTCAGTGATGACCCACTTGCTATATTTTTGCTATTAACAAAGGTTTCAAAGAACGTGAAGGTTGTGAGATGTCCAGAAAATGTGAAAAGCGCTATATCAAATGCAAGGATTATTATTATTATTATTATTATAATAATAATAATGTACAGCATAGAAACAGGCCAATTTGTTGGCAGGTTTATCTCACAAAATATAGTCAATTCACTTTACAGTATATTCTGTGAAGCACTTTGAGACGTTTTGAAGACACTAAATCAAACGCAAGGATTATTATATTATTATTATCCCTCTCTCCCTCATGTGAAGGTCTTGACTGCACCTAAAATATGATTCAAGACAGTGAGTTCCACAATCTCTGTGTTATCCTCTGCATTCCTCCTAGATTCTCTTTAAGATCCTATGGTCGCTATCTTATATTTGTATCTCCTTATCTGAGTGTGCTCTGACCAGAGAGAAGAGAGACTTACATTTGATGATGATCCCGAGTTTTCCCCTCTTTTCCCATTATCAGAATTCACTCCCAAGCCTCAGCTTGAGTGGGCACGATCTCCGGTTCAGAAAGTGGCGGATGGCTCCATGTCCCAATCCGGCCTCGTTTCCTGTCAAAGCAGAGACCCAATAATGTCAAAGCGACATTTAAACTACAATACAATACAAATTACATTTGATTATTGCCTTTCATATTGGCAGGACGTCCCAAGGCGCTGGACAGTCAGGGATTTCGACTTGAGCTGGGGGTCCAGATAGGAGAGGGTGGAGGGCGGGGAGGGTAGGAGGGCAGCCAAAGGAACGGTCAAAGGGGAGGGTTTTTGACCGAGAATCACGCACTTTGAATGAAAGCCCCAAATAGGCTCACGGACTAGCCGAATGACTTCCTGTGCACTAAAAATGGCTTCCTAGCAGCTGTTGCCATTGTCACTTCCTGTGCGCCACGTCGAAGGAGAGTGTGACTCACGGCTGTTTAGTATTGGTTGGGTGATGTTGACAACATATTTTTCAAAGTAGGCCGTATGATTGATGCCCAGGAGCTGTACCTTGAAGGCTGGAAAAGTGAATATCATTTATTAAACAACAACAACTTGCATTTGTTTCGCGCTCTTCACGTAGGATAGCGTCCCAGAGCACTTGAATAAACCCATTTATACGTTTCCTTACACACCAACCAAAGTGGCAGTAAAATATCTTACTAGATGCACCTCATCAAAACACACCTCGCTAAATTTGCCTCATTAACCTCAGCCCAATAACCTCACCTCAATAACACAGCTCACGAAATATATTTGCCTACAAATTTCACAGTCACTACACTATAGAGTATAACTGGATGGTACCAGGAATGAGGGACTTGAGTTTTGTGGAGAGACTAGGGAAGCTAGGATTGTTCTCCTTGGAGCAGAGAAGGTTAAGGGGAGATTTAATTGAGATGTTCAAAATTATGAGGGATTTAATGGAGTAAACAGTAAGAAACTGTTTCCACTGACCGGTGGGTCAGTAATTAGAGGACACAGATTTAAAATAGTCATCAATAAAACCAGAGGGGAGATGACGAGAAATTGACGAGAAACAGCGAGTTGTTTGGATCTGGAATGCGTTGAAGGCTGGTGGATGCTGATTCAATAATGACTTTCAAGAGAGAAGTGGATAGATGTTTTGGGAGGACAAATTTGTAAGGATATGGGGAGAGAGTGTGGGTCGGGGTGGGGTGGGGTGGTGATTTTAACTTCAAACCATGACTGCTCACATACCCCGTCCCCCTCTTACCACATTGTCTTGGTCCCAGACACACCTTTTCTCTCTCTGGTCTGGCTGTTTTGCTGCAATTTTTTCTCTCCTCACCTTTGTTCTGCAATATTAACACCTCTATTTCCCATACTGCAGATTCTTACATTTGATATAGCACCTTATCAGGACATCAAGATGTCTCAAAGCACTTCACAGGACTCACTGTAAAGTGTGGTGACTGTATATTTGGTGGGCAAAACTCAGCAGCCAATTGTGCATAGCAGTGTTCCACAAACATTCGTGGATTGAGTGACCACATTTTTTTTTGGAGGAATTATTATTCTTGGAAAGCGATCCACCAATTGACTAACAACTGGGTTCCTACTTACTGCTTGGTAAACAGAGGTGTGTGGAGTAAGGAAACTTGCCCTGCCGGGAATCGAACCCAGGTCACATACCATAATCCACCACTGGACTGTAACAGGCAAAGTCGATTCGAGAGAAGCTGTTCAGCTGTGGGGACAAGATGTGCTCGATGTGAGGACAAGGACCTGATGGCAAAAAAAAATTGTTCTGATTAAACATAACATGCATCATAGGTACAGAAGGAGGCCATTCAGCCCGTTGAACCTGTTTCATCAGTTTTCTTTAAAAAAAATTAGAAACCCATCATGGACAAGCAGAGGGAAAGCTGCCAGACAAAGTTCTCAATGGGAAGCTGTGTGGTTATCAATGGTGACCCTCAACTCCCAATCTGTGGTCCCCAAGCCTCAGCTCTCGCCAACTAGTGCCCAATATAAGATAGCCAGTGCTCGATCTACTATGGAGTTTAGTTGGCTGTTCTTTACACAGAGGGTGGTGAGAGTGTGGAACTCATTGCTGGAAACTGTGGTTGAAGCAAAAAAGCAATGTATTTAAGCAGAAACATACCAGACGCACATACATTTCCACATAGATCTCAGTCTGGTTTGGAGCACAGTGATGGGTTAGATACCCGGCTGATCACAGAGATGGGTTTCAGCGTGTGCTGGACACCTGGTTAATCATGGAGATGGGTTTCTGTGTGGGTCAGACACCAAGCTGATCATGGCAATTGATTTCTACATGAGTCAGACACCCGTCTGAGCAGGATGATGGATTTCTGTTTGGTTCAGACAACATAATGCTGGGTTTCTGCATTTGTCAGACACCCAACTGATCATGGAGATGGGTTTCCAGTCGATGGAAGAACCACTGACCCCTCACTCTGCCCCTTTTCCATGCTTGTGGTTATTTCTCTGGTAACTTACCCTCCGCGCACTCACACACATCTGTGTGGCACAGTGTAGACACCAGGACGCTGTGCTCGGGGGCACTATATGTCACGGTACATTTGACACCTGCAAATCAGACACATGTGTCAACCTCGTCATATTAACCCTCACGGCTTAAAATGAGCCTTACATCTGACACAGCCATTTCAGTGTAGTGACTATGTAATTCGAGGGCAGCCAATTTGAGTGCAGTGATGTCCTGCAAACAGCTACGAAATGAGCTGTGAAATGATTTTACGCGGGTGTTGTTGGCCAGGACACCGGGAGAGAGTGAAAGAGAGAAACTCCCTCCTCTTTTCCAATAGCGTCACAGGATCTTTAACATCCACCTGAACAGGCACATTCGGTGAGCTCAGTTTATTGTCTCATCTGAAGGATGATGCATCGCTCCCACAAACAGTCATGAATTGAGTGACCAATTTACAATTTTTTTAAAGGAATTATTAACCCCAGAATAGTGATTTGCCAATCGAGTAATAATTGGGTTCTGACTTACTGCTGGGTAAACAAGGAGTGTGGAGTAATGATTCTTCACCTGCCTGGGAACCGAGCCTAGGTCTCTCGCTTGTGAGGTGAGTGCTCTAACCACTGAGCTACAGGACTCCAGACGTGTGAGAATGGAAATTTACACTGGGGAGATATAGATTGCTCTCCCCCTGCCACCCTCCACCCTCCCTGCTAGATCCCTTGTGCCCTATTGCACCTTGTCAAGTCGTGTGCCCCCATCCCATGCCTCCTTGTTCCCATCTGGTGCCCCCTAAACCCTACCCCGCCATCTGTCCATATACAGTCCAGCATAGAAAACAATAATAATAAATTATAATAATGATAATCCTTTCATTGGATATAGCGCCTTCTCAAAGTGCTTCAGAGAATATTCTGTAAAGTAAATTGACTTTATATATTGTGTGCGAAACACGGCAATCAATTCTGCAAAGCAGTGTCCCATACACAGTGGCATGATTGAGTGATGAATTATTATTTATTTTTAAATCATACTAATTTAAAGTTATAGAGAGACATTTGGATGCCTCTTGGTGGCCAGTGGTGATGGCAAAGTCCATGATTACTTACTGGGATTGTAGAAGTCATAAAGGGTGGCGGTGGCTGGCTGTACTAGACCCACAGGGACAACTTGGTTTGCAGCAAAGACCACACACTCTTTCTTTACACGGACCTAAATAATGGGAAACAGAGTGAGAGAGAGGGAGAGAGAGACAGGAGTTTGGGAGAGAAAGAGAGTGGGGAGGGGGAGGCTCACGGAGAGAGAGACAGACAGGGGGAGAAAGACAGAGAAAGCGAGAGAGGGGGATAGAGGAGAGAGGGAGGGAGATGGAGATTGGGACGAAGGGGATGAGAGAGTGGGGAAGGGGGAAAGAGTGAAGGAGGATAAGAGAGGTGTGAGAAGGATAAGAGGGAGAGAAGGAGAAAATGAAGAAGAGGAGAGAGATGAGAGAGAAGGAAGGAGGAAGGGGAGGAAATGAGGGAGGGGGTAATGACAGGGAATGGAGAGGATGTCAGGAGGGAAGGATGTCAGGAAGAAGAGAAAATAAATTTATAAATTTATATAGCACATTCAATGTCAAAACATCACGGTGCTTCACAGATAATTGCTATCACATATAGTTACTATTCTCTGTAGAACATGTCAGTCTGGACTGTGAGCTCACAATCCCATGTGGGGCTCAAACCCTCAGTATTCACACACAGAGTCAGTGACTCGCGAACCTATAAGAGCTCAATAGTTGTGATTGTAGACGGTGCAAATAATACAATACAAAATCATATTTATCCAGCGCCTAACACGTTGAGATGTCCCAAGATGCTGAACAGTCAGGGATTAATACCCAGGTGTGGGTGGGGTGGGGGTGGGGGTTTGGGATCAGGGAGGGTGGAGGGGATGGGTTTGTGGGTCTGTGCTAGTGTATTTCTTTCTGCCCATTTGTGAGTGTTTGTACCCCGCAGTCCCTTTGCCTTGCCCCCTCCCTTGCCTCCTTCAAGAACCATCTCAAGACCCGACTGTGTCTAAGGTCACCTTTCTACCCTTCCTCACCCTCAATCCTTCCTGATCCCAACCACCAGATGGATCGTCGACTGTCCAGTGCCTTGGAATGTCTTCCTGACGTGAAAGACGCTTTAAATTGTAATTTGTTGCTGTTGTTGTTGTATGTTTCTTTCTCTCTCTGTCTGCCTGTGTGTTGGTCTGTCAGTTGGTCAGTCTGTCTGTCTGCCTGTGTTTCTGTCTGTCTACCTTTCTCTCTCTATCACTCATCTCATACTTACGCAGATCAATTCCCTCCACCTCATTTCTATTCCAGTGTCTTGGGACATCCTCCCAACACGAAAGGCGCTATACACAAGCCATTTTGCTGTTGTGTTGTATTCCACCAAAGTTACCCCGACCAACTATCACCAACCCCAGAGCCCAAGCCTCACCCAGCCTCCGACCATGTACAACCAATAAGATGTGAGCCATGATAAGATGTTAACCCACAACACCCACCATGTCGAGGTACAGCAGAACTTTGCCATCCTTCAACTCATACTGGTCGATGTATTTATCCACTCCATTTTTTAACTGAAAGACAAGCAAATAATAATAATAATCGTTACATTTGGTACAACGCCTTTCACTTCCCAAAACACTTCACAGGATTCGCTAACAGTTACTGTTTTGTGGACGAAAGCGGCAACCAATTTGCGTACAATAATATTCTTACACTAGAGTGAGTGTAGAGTGAGTGACTGAGATTATTTAGGGGATTGTGTTGAGCAGGACATCAGGAGAGGGAAACTCCCTTCACTTTTCAAATAGAGCTATGAGATCTCTAACCTCCACCTGGGGACGAGGCACAGATGGTGAGCTCATTTTAAGGATGCACTAACAACCAGGTTCCTACTTACTGCGAGGTTAACAGAGGGTGTGTGTAGAGTAAGAAAATTGCCTAATATTTCGCCCTGCCGGGAATCAAACCCAGGTCTCTTGTGTATGAGGTGCTCTAACCACTGAGCTACAGGTCTCCACGAGGACCATTTGGTTGAAGCATTGATTGTGTACCTTTTCGAGATGAGTTGTATCTGGTTCAAACCCACTGAGCAGGGAGATGTCAACAACTGCCATTCCAGACTTGATCTCATTCAGTTCGATCTCATCCTCCCGCCTGGCACAAGAGAGGAGGCACATGGTATCAACACCACATTGACAATACAAATAATAATCCTTTACCTTTCATGCAGAGCCTTTCGGGTCAGGCGGGCATGTCAAAGTGCTTCACAGGATATACATTTTCACCTACAAAATACACCGTCAATTCACTTTACAGTAAATTCTGTGAAGCGCTTTGAGACATCTCGAATGATGTTTGTGGGACTCATGATAAGGCCCTATATCAAATAAAAATAATTATAATCCTTGAACAGGATAGATGCAACCTCAGTTTAATAATAATAGCTACATTTGATATAGTGCTTTTCACGTCTTTGAGATATCTCAAAGCTCTTCACAGAATATACTGTAAAGTAATTTGACTGTATGTTTTGTGGGCAAAACGCGGCAACCAACTCCACACAACAGAGTCCCACAAGCAGTTGTGGAGTGAGTGACAATTTATTATTGTTATTTTTTTGAAATAACATAATTATTTAGTTATTTGGGGGAGCTGGGGAAGCGCAGAATTTTCAGAGGTGCCTGGCTTCACTTTGAGATGTTAAACCGAGGTCCCATCTATACCTGTTTGAGTGGACATTAAAGAGCCCTTGTCAGAATTCGAAAACAGAACGGAGTTTCTCACTCTCCTGGTGTCCCACTGATTAGTCATTTGTTCATTTTATGGTTGTTTGTGGGAATTGCTCCCTGCAACCTGTCTGCTTTGTTTGCCCACTAAACACGCAGTCACTTTACAGTGACTTTGAGTGAAGCTTTGAGTGTTTCTAACTTGGTGATGAGCTGAATGCCGAGGATTGTAATGAATTAGGTGTGGAGTTGAGACTTTTGCTGTCTTTCAATCTCAACTGCACACCGAATCCAATTTGACTGCATTGCAAAAGGGACCCATTTGATTTTAAGAAATCTGTTTAGACGTGGCACAGGGTCAAACTCGGGATTTCACTGACTTCGCTCTACCATCTCTGTCTCCTCCAACATGGCTATGATTGACAGACTGGGCTACCAGCCAATCAGTCAGTGGCTGCTGTCCAGCCCTTGATTGGCAATTGCTTTTCAGCCAGGGACCGGGGCGGGGGGGGGGGGCAGATGAGGAGCTGTGATTGGGCTGTCAGTCAGTCAGTCAGTGGGTGGGCTGTGGGTCGTTGAAAATATCAACCCAATTACAAAAGAAGGCCAGATAAACAAGTCAGTTTTGTCCGACTTTGGCCAACCTTAACTGATTGGGAGGTTCATGAGACCCCTCTGACCACCACCACTGGTTCTGCCACTGCAGATAGACTTGATACAGCCCAAAGGATACAGAGGAGGGTAACCAAAATGATTGAGGGGATGGAGGGACTCGACTACGAGGAGCGATTAGATAAACTGGGGATGTTCACGCTGAAGGAGAGAAGGTCGAGGGGTGATACGATTGTGGTCTTTACGATTCTGAAGGGACTAGATAATGTAGATCATGATAAGCTGTTTTATCTTGTACTGAACAGTAGAACTTGAGGACACAGCCTGAGATTGAAGGGGGACAAATTCAGAGCAAATCTGTGGAAACACTACTTCAGTGAAGTGAGTATTAAACTTATGGAACAGGCTCCCTAGGGAGAACGTGGAAGCAGAAGATGTCATTTGTTTCAAGAATAAATTAGATAGATTTCTACTAGAAAATAATATATTGGGTACAACAACAAAAAGTTACATTTGTTAGTACCTTTCACATCGTGAGGGCATCCCAAGTGCTAGACATACAGTATTTACGACCCAAGCTGGGGGTCAGGATTTGGGAGGGTGGAGGGCAGGGGGGGAAATGGGACATAGTATATAGTTTGGGACATGACATGTTAAGCGACTGCCTGGAAGGTGAACCAGTCTTCTTTCGCCAGCAAATTCTTATGTTCTTATGATATATCCCCCACTCCGATCCTCTGCCAATATGCTCACCATGTGCAGACTGTGTAGTAAATGGTTCGGTCAGCCTCTGTCTTGACAACCTCTCGCTTCCTCCGTGACCTCAAGTCATGCCAACCAATGAGGCCCAATGACTGGTCTTCAGGAAGAATTGTGTTATTGTATTCAAAGTGAGAGTCTGAAGAACAACAATAACTTGGGTTTATATAGTGCCCTTAGCATAAGGTGGCATGTTGAATTAACAACAACAGTAAAATTATATTTCCATAATGCCTTTCACATGAGTAGGACATCCCTAGGTGCTGGAGAGTCAATGTTTTGGACCCAAGCTGGGGGTCAGGATTGGGAAGGGTGGAGGACAGGGGGGGAAGGAGGGTGAAGGAGGAGGTGGGGAACTTGAAGCAGGCTGGAGACTGATGAATGGAGGGAGCGGGAAGTTTGATAGGGGGGTAGAAGGTCACATAAGTAGGGGAGAGCAAGACCATGGAGGGCTTTGAAGTTGAGGACAGGATCTTGAACTGTATCCTCTGTATGATGGGAAACCTGTGGAGTCGGGCAAGAATGGGGGTGATAGGGTCACAGAGCCTGGAGAGGATGCGGGCTGCAGAGTGCTGGATGGTCTGCAGCCTGTGGAGGGAGAAGTTAGGGAGGCCAACAAGCAGGGAGTTTGCATACTCAAGCCTGGATGTTATGAATGCGTTTAGGGTTTCTGCGGCCTACGGTGTGAGATAGTGGCAAATCCAGGTCTCTTGCATGCAAGGCGAGTGCTCTAACCACTGAGCTACAGGACTCCAGAGAGGAGAGTGTTACTGGCTTCAAGGTATGACTTACCCAGGTATTCCATTTTGCTCTGTATGGTGACCTCCAGTTTGAAGTGTGTGCATGGGTTTGAAAGCTCCTCCAGGAGACGGTAAGTTTTGAGAAGCTGAAAATTAATAATAATCCTTACATTTGAAACAGCACATGCTCACATGATTGAAACACCTCAAAATGCTTCGCAGGATATACTGTAAAGTGCAGTGACTGTATAATTTGTAGACAAATGAGGCAGCACAATTTGTGCACAGCGCCATCCCACAAATAGCCATGAAATGAGTGAAGACTTTTATCTGCAGAATAATCAGCAGGTCAGCATGAGAGTAACTCCCTTCTCTTTTCTAATAGGTCACAGGATAATAATAAAAAAAATAATCCTTGCGTTTAACATAGGGCCTTATCATGTCTTTCAGATGTCTCAAAGTGCTTCACAGAATATACTGCAAAGTGAATTGACTGTATATTTTGTGGGCGAATCGTGGCAGCTGATTGCACACACAGTGTCCCACAAACCGACTTGGATTGAGTGACCAATATATAATTATTATTTATTTTTGAAGGAATTATTACCCCTGGAAAACTGATCCACCAATCGACGAACAATCAGGTTCCTACTTACTGCTAAGTAAACAGAGGCAAGTGGAGTTACAAAACTTGCCCAATGTCTCGCCCTAGCAGGAATCAAACCCAGGTTTCTCGCTTGCAAGGTGAGTGCTGTGAGCTACAGGACTTCACAAATAATAATTGTAAATGACTTACATTCAACGTTCCATTCCCGGTACCTGATAGCTTGACCTGAATTTTGCTTCCCAGCGGAAACTATGAGAGCAAGAAGTCAAACAGAATATTAATAATAATAGTAATGATATGGCATTTATTACAATGTCTGTGACATCCAAATCTCACAGTGCTTCTCAAGTAATTTTAATAATAATTCTCACACTTGGTTTCTCATTCTATAATGTTGTTGCATCTCAAAGTGCTTCACAGGATTGTACTGTGAAGTGCAGTGACTGTGAGTTTTGTGCACAAATGCAACAGCCAATTTATGCGCAGTCCCACAAACAACCATTAAGTAAATGTTCATTTTTATTTGGTGGGGGCAGGGGGCATTTTCAGCCATTATAACTTGGCTGAAAATGCACTTCAAACAATGCAGTGTGCACCCACCCCACCCCTCCCCGCCCCACCCAGCACTGCACTGAAGTGTCAGCCCGGATTATATGAGTTGCAAGTTGTCAACATGCGGCTTCAACTCATAACCTTCTGACTCTGTTCCACTATTGGCAAACATGCTTTTAGTCACTCTGTTACTGCCTACCTCTGCCTTTCCCCATCTTTGTCCATCTTCAGATCTGAAGACCTTCCTCTTCAACCGACCATATGGTCACCTCCCCTCCCTCCCTGGTTTTGTGTCAAGCTCTGTCACTGTTAAGCCCCCCGAGGTGCTGCCTCCACATGAAGGGCGTTGTGTAAATGCAATTTGTTGTTATTTTAATGTCTGTACCTTCAACTCGGTGCGGCTCAAAGCATTTCTCTTCTGTAAGTAGATTTGCGTCATCCTTCCATTCTCACTGAATTCCACATCCATGTTCAGCTGTTCCTTCTCAAAGGTAATCCTGTGGTAAGTAGACAGAGCTTCTAGAGCCACCACTGTGTCCTGCACCGGGAATAAGAGGGGAAGAAATAGGCAAATGACCTAGGGTTAGCGGAAACAAGTTATGAGACAAGCTAAAGGGGCTCTTCAGCCTTGAGAGAAGACAACTCAGAGAGGATCTCTTAGGTGTGTCTAAAATTTCAAATGAGATTGAAAAAGTGAGCTGAGCCGCGATTCTGCTCCACCCTCGCCTACCCCCAGGCAAGCGACCGTCACACAGGAGGCCTGTAGCTCAGGGTTAGAGCACTCGCCTCGCAAGTGAGAAGACCTGAATTTGATTCCCAGGCACGGTGAAATGTTGGGCAAGTTCCTTACTCCACAAGCCTGTTTACCTAGCACTAAATAGGAACCCGGATGTTAGTTGATAGCGGATCGCTTTTCTGGGGGTAATAATCCCTTCCAAAAAACTAATAACAATAAATTGGTCACTTCAATCCACAACTTTTTGTGAGACACTGCTGTGTGCAATTGGCTGCAGTGTTTTCCCCACAAAATATAGTTAATTCACTTTACAGTAATGTAAGTGTACTCTGTGAAGTGCTTTGAGACGTCTTGAAAACGTGATAAGGTGTAAGGATTATTATCATTATTATTGAACCGGAAGAAATTCCTACCTGTGTTGAGCGGAATCCTCCACCATAGTTACGTTGCTCTGTCAGCCATTTGGCAATGGTGGATGCAAATGTCTCGTCCTTCATCATGAGGCTTTGCAGCAGAGCATAGGACGTTGCTTCCACCGCCAAGGCTGAGGCGTGGGAAGGGTTCTTCTCTCCCCCAACTAGTTCCACATCCGTCACCTTCCAGTAGCGAATGTCTTTCTCTGTGTGAACAAAAACATAAATGCTGCTTGGCCCATTACATAATAATCCTTGCATTTGATATAGCACCTTATTACATCTCCGAGTTGTCTTTTGAATTTAAGATCCTCATCCTCACCTACAAGGCCATTCACGGCCTCGCTCCCCCCCTACCTCTCTGACCTACTATCCCCCTACCTGCCCGTACCCTCCGTTCCTCTGGCTCCGGTCTACTCCACATCTTCCGCCCCAACCGCCCTACCATTGGTGCCCAGGCCTTCAGCCTCTCAGCCCCGAGGCTCTGGAACTCTATCCCCCAGTGCCTTTGCCGCTTCCTCCCTTTCCTCCTCAAGACCTCAAGACCTTTCTCTTTGACCGTGCCTTCAGCTCCCCTCTCGACTCTCTACTCCCTCCTCGCTCACTCCCTTCCCTCCCCTCTACCTGACCATTTCCCCACTGCTCGGGTCCTGACCCAACTGTACAGCGCCACTTGGGACGTCCTCCCGACGTGAAAGGCGCTCTATAAATGGAATCTTGTTGTTGTTGTTGTTTTGGTGCTTCACAATAAAATGAATTGACTGTACGTTTTGTAGGCAAAACGTGGCGGGCAATTGCACACAGCTTTGTCCGTCCCACAAACAGTCGTGGATTGATTGATCAATTTTTTTTACATTCCTTGTCAAGATTTGCTGGATCCCTGTCACACAGGATTGACTTCAAAGTCCTCACACTTTGCACCTGAGCACCAGCCCCACCTCTCTGACCTGCTCAAACCTACTCCTGTAACCATCGCCGTCATTCATCTGTGTCCGGTCTCCTGCTGATACCTCATCCCATCTGCTCCAGTATTGACCTCTGGGCTTTCAGCTGCTATGCCCTGAACATATGAAACTCTCTGCCTCAATCCTTCTGCCTTGTCCCCTCTTTGCCAATCTTCATCTCACGCCTGAAAACTTTCCTGCATAGGCCTACGGTCAGCTCCCCTTTCTCCACAGCTTGCGCCAACTTTCCCATTATTAATTGAATGGCGGATTGCTTTTCAGAAGTAAAAATTCCTTCAAAAAACCTATAGTAATAAATTGGTCATTTTAATCCACGACGGTTTGTGGGACACTGCTGTGCACAATTGGCTGTCGCGTTTTGCCCACAAAATATACGGTCAATTCACTTTACAGTGTTTTCTATAAAGCGTTTTGAGACGTCTCGAAGACGTGATGAAGCGCAATATCAAATGCAAGGATTATTATTATGAGTAGTAAATGTTCTGAGATGCTACCCTGCATGAAGGGCGCAATATAAATCCAGGCTGTTGTTACTATAATGTGCCCCACTACAGCGCAGGTTCCATTATAATACGGTTTGAGTCGCTGCTGTTTCCTATACTAAAATGGCTATCTTCCTTCTTATTAAGTCAGCGCTGTTTTCCAGGATGTGGTTTCAGCAGCGACCCAATGACCCGATAGTCAGCCATTTTCTGGATACAAACTGACCGACTTCTAGAGTCACCTGGTCGTCGATGACACCACTTCCTGTTTTGCTTCCTCTGTGTGGGAGGGGGGAGGTGACCGTAAGCACAATCAAAAAGGAAGATCTTTGGGTGGGATTTGAAGGGGGTAGGGAGGGTGGGAAAGGGGGTAAGGCAGAGGCATCGTGGAGAGAGTTCCAGAGTTTTGGGGTGTGGTGGCTGAAGGCATGACAACCGACAGTGGCAATGCCACCCACTGTTACCTCTCAGCGAACTCACCTCTGTTGTAATAGGCCAGGTCCTTCAGCTTTCTGTGAGCCTTCACTGACCCAGGACTATCTGGACTGGCCAACGTGAGTGCATAGGCAGCGATAGCGGTTACAAAGGGGTGCTTGATACTCGGCACTTCCTTGTGCAGAAAACCGAGAGCCTTCGCGATACTATTTTTCTGGAAAAAAAGCCAAGAATAAGCCTGGAATCTGACCTTGAATCAAGACCCTTTTCTTCGACAGTGCTTTCGGTCACTCTCATACCCTTCCTGCCCCAAATTACCCCAAACCCCTCCCACTGCTCAGGTCCAAATCGCTGGCTGTTCAGTGTCTTTAGATGTCCTCCCGATGTGAAAGTTGCAACACAAATGCAATTTTGCATTGAATCGTATTCATAAAGCAATTCCCAGGCACTCCCAACATTGGGATCATAGTGTGTCTCTACCGAATTGGGAGGTGCCATCTTGTAAATGAGGAGGTTAAACCTTGCTATCCATTTATGCCTGTTCAGGTGGCAGTTAAAGTTCCCATAGTGATAATCGAAAAGAGAAGAGAGTTTCTCTCTCCCTTCAATTCCCCAATCTCCTGCAAAACTCCCCCCCCAAATTAGTTGCTCCATGACTATTTGCGAGATGTTGCTTTGTGCAAATTGGCTGCTGCATTTGCCTACAAATACCGGGTAAAATCTGTGAAGTGCTTGGAAATGTCTCAATAATGTGAAAAGCCACTTTATCAAATTCAAGAATTATTATTATTATTACTATTATTATTTTGTGCATAGCAAAGTCTCACATAGAGTTACAGGAAGAATGTATGATTTTGTTGGGGGATTGTCAGCCAGCACAATAGGAGAGAGAAATTCCTTTCTCTTTTTAAATAGCACCATGGGATCTTTAACGTCCACTTTAATAGGCACAGATGGGGCCTTGGTTTAATGCCTCAGCTGAAGGATGGCATCTCCAAAAATGCCACACTCCCCCCCAGCATTACACTGAATTGTCAGACTAGACAGTGAGCTCAGGGTCCCCAAATGAGGCTTGAACCTTCAACCTTGTGACTCAGATTTGGGGGAGAGAAAGTAAGAAGGTAAGTTATCTATCACCTTACCACTTGTGTAACTGGGATGATGTCATGTCTCTTATATGAATCCAAGGAATGCTGCAAGGCGATGGTAACAAAAGCGGTCATGGATACCAAGCTTTCAACTCCTCCCTGAAAATACACAGGGGAGAATTTTAAAGACAGGTGCAGAAAAGAAAAACTAAAGTGTAAAATCATACAACGACACCAGACACAACCGATCACACCCAACCACCCACAACCACATGCAACCAAACACACACGTCCATGTAAACACTCGCAATTACACACATCTACACAGACATATGCAACCAGCCACACAACCACACAGTGACACACTCAACCAGCCACACACAACCCAACGAGACCCTCACAAGCAGACACTCACAACTACACAGAGAAAAGTGTGGGAGAGAAGAAATAGTGTTAGAACTTTACACAAGATTGGTTCAGGTGAAGAAAGCCTTTGGTCCCATCTAATCTGATTCTTCCAGAACACACACCCATAGTGTCCTAGAATCATAGAATTATACAGCACCGAAGGAGGCCATTCGGCTCATCATGTCTGTGCCAACTCTTTGAAAGAGCTATGCAAATTAATCTCACTCCCCTGCTCTATCCCAATAGCCTTGCAAACTTGTCCTTCTCAAATATCTATCCGCTTCCCTCTTGAAAGTTGTTATCAAATCTGCTTCCCCCACCCATTCAGGCAAACCATTCCAGATCGAAACAACTCAGTGTGTGAAAACAAATCTCCTAACCTTCCCTCAGGGTCTTTTGACAACTATCTGTCCTTCCATTACTGGATCAAGCTGCTTTTTAAATAACCCCCAGTGTCCTGGCCTAACCCACCATTCCTGGTAATCCTGTTCCCATTGTCAGTTCCTCTCTGGCTAAAGAAAAACATCCTGGTGTCTTTATCCTGAAATTGACCTTTACAACTCCAAACCAATGTCCTGCTGTCAAGGTTCATCTGAAAGTATTGATCTAAATTTATGTGACCTGCATCTCTCTTGCCATCACGGGATGGGGATCTTCAAAGTGGCCGGAGCTGTTCTGAGCATTGATCAGATAAGAAACAGATTTGTGGATGAACATGTCGTTGACAATGATGTGCTTCCTGGCGATCGAGAGGATTTTAACCATAAATGCTGTTAGCCTGAAAAGGTAAAAAAAAAAAGGCGATGAGGAGAAATTTCAGCTCATATTTATGCTGATACTCCTGTGGAGGGCCGTCCTTTCTATGAGATGTCAAACCAAGCTCCCTATCTGTATCTGTCCAGGTGGACGTTAATGAACCCTGTGGGAGAAGGGATTTCTCTTTCCCAATGTCTTGGCCAACAATACCCTAGATAAAATTGGTCATTCATTTCATGGTTCCTTGTGGGACAAATTGGCTGATGCATTTGCCTACAACACGCAGTCGCTAAATTTTGCATGTTTTATTTATACAGTGCCCTTCATTGGGGTAGCATCTTGGTGCACTTAATGTTAGTGGAATTTGATGCTGAGCCGGCGAGAAAGGGGAGGTGATCATAGGCACGGTCAAGGACAAAGGTATTCAGGTGCGATCTGAAGAAGGGGACAAGGTGGAGGGCCTGAGGCAGGGAATGATAGGTTCTCGGTGCGCAGTGGCTGAAAGATGGCTACAGATGGTGGAGTGAGCGTGGGTACAAGGGATATGCAGAAGGACTGAACCAGCTGACTTCATAACAGATCATGGCTATGAAATCTATCACAAAATGTGATATTTCTTCACCCCAATAAATACATGTAAATCTCACCACACACTGCTTGGAGTTTCCTTCCACGTTCCATATGATCCATCCGCTTTCTGATACTCCAGAATCTTTGTATAACCTGGAATTGAACCATGGAGTTTGTATTAAAATAAGTCCTGTAACTCAGTAACCTCCCATCACAAGCGAGAGACCTGGTTTTGATTCCAGTTTCCTTACTCTACATGCCTCTGTATACCTAGTAATAAGTGGGAACCCAGTTGTCAGTCGATTTGCAGATCGCTTTTCCGGGGGTAATAATTCCTTAAAAATTAATAACTTGGTCACTCAATCCACAACTCTTTCTGGGACACTGCTGTGCACAATTGGCTGCTGTATTTAGCCAATAGTCCACTGGCTCCCTGTCACTGAACAGAGTGATTTTAAGATCCTCACAAGATCCTCACATCCATCGTGCCCTGGCACCTCCCTACCTCTCCGACCTGCTTACTCCCCAAACCACAACCGCTGCCTCCGCTCGACTGGCTTCGGCCTTCTCCATGAATCATGTGCCCTCAGTTCCACTATCGGTGGCCACACTTTAAGCCACTACACCCTGAAACTCTGTAACCCTCTTCCTCCATCCCTCCACCTTGCCCCTTCCTTCCCCATTTTCAGGTCGTGCCTGAAGACGTTACTATTCGACTGTGCCTACGGACACCTCCCCCTTCCCCTCAACTCGGAGTTGTGTTCCACCACTGTCAAGCACTCTGGGAGGCTACAATGCATGAGGGGTGCAATATAAATACAAGTAATTGTTGTTGTTATTTTTCAATCCTATTTAAAATCTTATCCCGGTTCCCCTCTGAGATGCTTCCCTCGAGACTGAATTGGCTTAACCTTGTCTAATCTCTGAATTGTCTTAATCCAGACTTTGGCTTGTGTCAGACAGAATGAGCCCATCATTCCCTTATTCAGACTCTGTGTGAGGATGAAGCAGGAGGAAGCTGAGATCAGCACCTGTCTTAATGTTGGCCAGAGCCTGGTCCTTGCGCTCTGATGGCAGATGCAGCCACTGCTGGCTCTGGTCCAAGTATTCAACGGCGTAAACCGTGGGAGCCAAGTGCATTGCAGTCTGCTCTGCACACCCGGTTGGTACTCTGATCAGACGGTTAATACCCTCTGGAGACAGGGAGTTTTCAATGGATTCACCCATCAGGTCACCTGCACCAGCGTGGGAGAGAGGATGGTAGAGAGAAGGTTAGTAACTATTAGCATGTGCAATGCCAGTGTGTTGCGCTTGAGTCTGAAGTTTGTGAGTTCAGGCCGCTCGTTGAAACTCATAGAATCTAAGTTGATGCTCCAATGAGGAGTACTGCATTGTTGGAGATGTCATTCTTCAGATCAGTCATTAACCCGGGATCCCCTCTGTGCCTGTTCAGGTAGAAATGAAAAATCCTCTGGAATTATTGGAAAAAGAAGGGAGTTTCAGCCAACAATCCACCAAATAAATTTGGTTATTCACTTGGTTGTTTGCTGTACATTGCTGTGTGCAAATTAACTGCCTTGTTCACTCACAGAAAACATGCAGTCACTGCACTTTACAATAAATCATGTGAAGCGCTTTGAGACATCTTGACAACACAAGACACTATATTAAATACAAGGATTATTATTAATAATAATGACCATCAACAATCCTTGCATTTAATCAAGGACCTATGATATTGAAAACAAAAACAGAAGTCGCTGGGAACACTCAGCAGGTAAGGCAGCATCTATGGAGAAAGGCAGTAAGTCAACATTTCAGATCCATCACCCTTCGTCAGAATGGGTCAAAATCTATGATATTGAATCAGCTCAAAATACCGCGTATGGAATTGCTGCAGTGACTCTCTTTTTGTGGATAAATAGGGCATTTGGTTTACAGCAAAGTCCCACACACGTGAACTAGTGATTATCTGGGGTATTGTTGACCAGGACACTGGGGGAGAGAAAGTCCCTTTACTTTGCCAATAGCATCCGGGATCTTTAACATCCACCTGAACAGGCGCAGAAGGGATCTTGGTTTAACGCCTCATCCAAAGGTCAGCACGTCTGATAATGCAGTGCTCTCCCACTGGAGCATGAGCTTGGATTGTGAGCTCAAACTCCCAAAGATGATAAGGATTAAAGAACATTATTTAAATATTAAACAACATTAAAGTCATCTTTTAATCACAAAGGTTAAACCATTTCAGATTTCATGCTAGAGTAGGTTAACAACATGAGTGTGTACAATTCGGTACCATGACCTCTAGCCTACATTGGTTTATTCAGTCTTTACCTTACCTCTGGCTTTGATGTACAGGTAGGATTCTGTGTCAGGGACCTGGTTAAGAGGAGTTTCTGTATTTATGTCATGCGAGCGTCTCACTGAAACAAAAACGCATGAAGGAAATCTCTGTTATAACGCATTTCTTTATGGCAAATTTAGTTTGGCATATGCCTGTTGCCCACGGGAAGCTTGCAGGAAGCTCCTGGTACCTACCACCAATCTAGTGAGGGCTCAAAACCCACATTTGCAGATTTTGAATGACCAAATAGTGACTATCTTCCTTGGGGTTAGGTAAGTGGGGTCTCTTTGGAAATGCTTGTCAATGGAATGTCAGAATTGAGCCAGCCTGTGTGACGGACTCCAGTCCAGTTCCTGAGCCAGGTCTGCAGTATTCCAGGGCACTGCTGATGGCAGCACAGCCAACCTGGCTGATTGGCAGGACTTGGAAGGGCAGACCAGCCATTGAGGGCAGGGAGTCATCAGCTCCTGTTAACCTGAAAGCCAAAGGCCCTAATGGGTAGGATGGTCATGCAGCAGGAAAGCTTGCCAGCCAGTAATGCCAATGGCAAGCTATGTGGTTTTAGCTGGCTAGATGTTACCACAATGCACACTCTGGGGTCCCCAAGCCTTGACTCTTGCCAACCTGCTCTGAATACTTTTCGAAGTTAGGTAAGCAGGTCGAGTCCCTCCAGGGAGAGAGTGTGCCTTCCATACCAAGAATCTATCTCTGGAATTTCTATATGTAGGGGAGGTGCATGGACATCTCAATTAGTTTGGATACTTTTAAGTATGGTAATGAGTTTCCACATTTGTCAGACACCCGGATGACCAAAAAGTAAATGCCTGTTCACCTTCCATGTGCCCACCTATACAAAATAGATGACTCCAGTTGTCAGGTCACCGCCAACTTCACTTCCTGTTCTCACGAGCAAAACAGGAAATGTCGTCGGCAGCGACCTGATGACCCTGACTCCTAGAGGTTGGCCATTGCAGCTTTGCTCATGAGCTTAAAAAAATGATCACAAGGCCCTCCCGGCAATGCTACATCCTGTCTTCCGTACACAAACAAGACACGAAATCGGCTGTGATCTGATAATCTGAATGTCAGTCATTTTGCCATCAGTGCAGGAAGCAGTCACCCACCCCACTTAGCATTTGTACAATGGAACCTCACCCAGTGGATTAATAAGAAGGCTCGTCTCTTCGGTCTTCATCACACCTTCCTCCTGCAAAATAAAGGGCTAACGTAGGTTAACAGAGCAAAACATTTTGCTGAAGTCACAAGATCAGATAAGAAGTCCCTTCTGCCCATCTGATCTCATCCCTCCAGAGCACCAACCCTACCGTCCACCCAAGATGGCATCAAGCTGCTTTGTAAATTAATTCCAACGTCTTGGCTTCAATCACCCTTCCTGGTAACTCTGTCTCAAATATTAATGACCCTTTGCTCCATCTCAGTCCTCAGGGAGGCATCTTCCTTTGGATAACAATATTCCTTGCAATTGATGCAGCGCCTTATCACATCTTAGAGATGTCTCAGAGTGCTTCACAGAATATAGTGAAAAGTAAATTGACTGTATATTTTGTGAGTGAAATGCGGCAGCCAATTGTACACAGCAATGTCCCACAAACATTCGTGGATTCAAGTGACCAGTTTATTATTTTTTTTAATGAATTATTACCCCCAGAAAAGTGACCCACCAATCGACTAACAACCTGCTGGACAGCAGCTTACTGCTAGGTAAACAGAAGCATGTGGAGTAAGGAAACCACTGAGCTACAGGACGACATGATAAGACATGAAACCAAAGAAAGAAACAGGCACTACATTTGATAACTATTTGTGGTGGAGTCCTTTGAGACATCTTTCTGTTGTAGTCACTGTCAAATCATAATAATAATAATAGAAATGTAATTTCATTTGATATAGTGTCTACTTGTATCATGAAGATAACTCAAAGCTCTTTATAACAATCCTTGCAGTGCCTGTGTATTATGAAGGCAACGTGGCAACCAATTTTCACACGGCAACATCCCACAAACAGCCATCAAGTCAGTGTCCAATTTTATCTGAGTGATTGTCAGCCAGAACACCATGAGAGAGAAAATCCCTTTTGCTTTCCAACAATACTACAAGATTTTTAATTGTCCACCTGAGCAGGGCACCAACGGGATCTAAGTTTAATAGACAGTGCTTCTAACAACGTGCCCCCCTCCCACAAACAAGTCAATGGAGTGTGAGCTCAAAGTCTCCAATATGGGCCTTGAGCCCATAACCTGCTGACTCCGAGATGAGTGTGTGATAGACTGAGCCAGGTTTAGACCTGGACGTGAGTATGATAATAATAATCCTTCAATTTGATATAGTGCCTCATCACGTCTTCTAGGCATCTCAAAGCATTTCACAGAATATAATGTAAGGTGTGTCGACTGTATATTTTTTACATGTGTATCTTGCTTCATACCACAACTCTCAGGTGCTTGAGAAGAGCATCTCTCTGTCCACTTGTGCTGAGTGCAACCACATGGATCGGGATATTCCCAGCCACCAGTGGAACGATTGGAAAGCCCAGGGAATGGGCAGAGTTTCTTCTGACAGTAATAACTCGGGCTTCATCCTTTGAAGTGGCCGGGCTACAGAGACCATCAGCTCCCCTCATGTACACGAAGACCTGAGAGACACGGAGTGTGTGGGAAGGGATAGGGGAGAGTGGGGGTGAGAAAGCACAGGGTCACACATTCGCTATTCTCCACATGAAACAATCCCCATCTTTATACACATTCATGGAATTAAGTAAGGAACCTTCCATAACCAGTTACAGAATTAATCTTTAATAACTAGTCACACTGATACCAAATGTAATTGGTAGTTATTAAACAGACTTTACCCACAGAGTCATGAACACGGACACAAATACACACAACCTGGGTTAGTAACAGCCTGGGTTAGTTGATAGACATGGTGAGTTAATAAGTAATAATAACAACCCTTGCATTTGATATAGCACCTATCACGACTCTGAGATGTCTCAAAGTGCTTCACAAGATTTACTGTAAATTAAAGATATATTTTTGTGGACGAATGTGGCAGCCAACTGCATATAGCAGTGACCTACAAAAGTCATGGATTGAGTGATGAAATTATCATCATTATTTTTTTTGAGGGATTATTATCCCCGGAAAAGCAATCTGCCAATCGACTAACAGCCGGTTCCTACTTATTGCTAGGTAAACAGAGGCATGTGTGTGTATGGAGTAAGAAAACTTTTGCCCTGCTGGGAATCATTCCCAGGTCCTCTTGTTTGTGAAGTGAGTACTCTAACCACTGAGCTACAGGTGTCCACATGCCAGACCGATTCACAGATTGGATTTGTTACAGCCTGGGTTAGTTGATAGACCAGGTTAGTTGTCAGACCAGGTTGACAGATTGGGTTTGATGACAGACGAGTTCTGTTGGCCTCTGTACCTGGATATCCTGGGCGAGATAGTTGTACAATATCACTCTCACATCCACCTGCTCATTCCTTGTCACCGCATTCGGGAGTCTCATTGATATAAAAAACTCCTGGAATACTGTCAGTTTCTTGGATTCCGCGACACAGAATCCTGAAGAATTAAAACAAAATTCCAACATTTGTAAACTGTTCCCTAAATCCATCTTTTTTATACTGATTTATGCAATTTTTACACAGATTTCACAATTTTACATAATTAATAATGATATTCCTTGCACTTGATATAGCACCTTATTACAACAACAACAAGATTTCATTTATTGAGCGCCTTTTATGTCGAGAGGACGTCCCAAGGCACTGGACAGTTAGGTCGGGACCTGAGCAGGGGGTAAATGGTCAGGGTGAGGGGAGGGAAGGGAGGGAGCGAGTAGAAAGTCGAGAGGGGAGCTGAAGGCACGGTCGAAGAGAAAGGTCTTGAGACCGGCATTGAAGGAGGAAAAGGAGGAGGCGGCGAAGGCACTGGGGGATGGAGTTCCAGAGCCTCGGGGCTGAGAGGCTGAAGGCCCGGCCACCGATGGTAGGGCGGTTGGGGCGGGGGATGTGGAGCAGACCGGAGCCAGAGGAACGGAGGGTACGGGCAGGTAGGTAGGGGGATAGTAGGTCGGAGAGGTAGGAGGGACAAGGCTGTGAATGGCCTTGTAGGTGAGGATGAGGATCTTGAATCAATCCTCTGGGGGATGGGGAGCCAGTGGAGGTGAGCGAGGGTGGGAGTGATGTGGTCCGTGTCTGGTGCGGGACAGTACACGAGCTGCAGAGTTCTGGATGACCTGCAGCTTGTGGAGGGAGGTGGCGGGAAGGCCGGCGAGGAGAGAGTTCCCATAGTCCAGCCTTGAGGTGATAAAGGCGTGGACCAGAGTTTCAGCCGCGTGAGGGGTGAGGTAGTGCCGTAGTCTGGCGATGTTTCGGAGGTGATGGAAGGCGGTGCCAGTTGTGGTGCGGATATGAGGAAGAAAGGACAGCTCAGGGTCGAACAGAACCCGAGGTTCCTGACCGGCTTTGAGAGGTGAAGAGTGCAGCCTTGGATGCTGATGCTGTCAGCACCTGAGGTGCGGAGGCGCTGACGTGAGCCAATCAGGAGGGCCTCAGTTTTGCACATGTTGAACTAAAGAAAGTTGTCTCTCGTCCAGACTCGATGACAGACAGGCAGCTGTCAGGACATCGGGGTCGTGGAGTTGAGGGTAGAGGAGGAAAGGTAGAGTTGGGATTATCAGGTATTATCATTGAGCCATCTCAAAGCACTTCACAGAATATACTGTTAAGTGAATTGACTGTATATTTTGTAGGCAAATCCAGGCAGCCAATTGCACACAGCAATTTCCCACAAACAGTCATGGATTGAGTGACCAATTTTTTTTTGAACGAATTATTCTACAGTGTGCATTGTTTTTGGGAGAGTGGGGCATAACTGCTGGAGTCTAAAGACCTAAAACCATTGAGAGCACTGTCTGGTAAGTTTACCATTGTTTAACCCAAAGCACATTACAGGTTATTACACATTACTGGGCTGCTGTGCTCACCCACAATTTACTGTACAGTTACAGTATTTTGTGGGTGAGCACAACAGCCCAGTTTACACACAACAATGTCCACATAAACAGCTATGAAGGTAAGTGACCAATTTATTTTGGGGATTGTTGGAGAGACAGAGGGAAACCCCTTCTCTTTTCCAATAGCATTGCGGGATCTTCATAATAATCCTTGCATTTGATATAGCAGTTTATCACGTTTTTGGGACGTCTCAAAGTGCTTCTTATAATATACTATAAAGTGAATTGACTGTATATTTTGTGGGCAAAATGCGGCAGCCAATTGTGCACATCAGTGACCACATTCAGTCGCGGATTGAGGGGCCAAATTATTATTAATATTTTTGTTGGAAGGGATTATTATCCCTGGAAAAGGGATCACCAATCAACTAAGTACCGGGTTCCTACTTACTGTTAGATAAACAGGTGTTTGTGTGGAGTGAGGAAACTTGCCCAACATTTAACTGTGAGGAGAGAGTGAGGAGTGAGGTTCAATGTCTCACACAAATGTCAGAAACTCCCTTGTGCTGATTGGAGCAACAGTTTAGATTTTCCTGATGTTGGGGTTGAACCCACAATCTCTGCTTCTGAGCCGAGTGCACTATTGACTATGTCACACTGATGCACAATCGGAAATCTGCTCCAATGCTCAGCTGAAAGAACGATACCAAGACTTTAAGGGTTGAATTATGAGGATAAGTTGCATAAAGTTAGTTTCTATTCCCTTGTCTTTAGAAGGTCGAGGGGTGATCTGATTGAGGTGTTTATGACGAGAAACGGATTTGTTAGTGTAGATGCAGTGAAACTATTTCCCCTGGTGGGGGAGTCAAGAACAAAAATCATTTTAAAATTAGAGCCAGGCCATTTAGGAGGGAAACCAGGAGGCAGCTTCTCACCCAAAGTGTGGTGGAAATATGGAACGCTCACTCTCAAAAGGCTGTGGATGCTGGATTCACTCACATCTTCAAGACTGAGGTATATAAATATTTGTTAGCTCAGATTATTAAGGGATATGGGACAAGGACGAGTAACTGGGCTTGAGGTATAGATCAGCCATGATCTTATAAAATGGCAGAACAGGCTGGAGTGGCTGAGTAGCCTACTCTAGTTTCTATTATCTATGTATTTATGATATTAAGGAATTGGTTTACCTTTATTGTCAAACATGGCGACTGCTTGAATCTCCCAGGTTGTGATGGAGTCAGGAATGCGAGCCGACAATCTAAAATTTTTTTGAAAAAATATTTGTTATCCCTTACTAACAAAGAAAAATAATTAACAAATCTTTATACTTTTCAAATATCTTAGTGGTCTCGCCCCCAACCCCCTGATGCCCCCCTTCTGTGACCTCCCACCCCTGCCCATTATTGTCACAAGGCAGCCAATTGCGCACAGCAGTGTCCCACAAACATTAATGGATTGAGGGGCCAATTTAATAAATTTTTTAAGGAATTATTACCCTTGGAAAAGCAATCCGCTAATCAACTAACAACTGAGTTCCTACTAACTGCTAGGTAAACAGAGTTGTGTGGAGTAAGGAAACTTGCCTGATATTTCACCCTGTTCAGGAATCGAACCCAGATCTCTTGCGTGGGAGGCGAGTGCTCTAAACACAAGCTACAGAACTCCTATTTGAATGATATGAGTTTAAATTCCAATGTGAGGCTTGATCCCACAATTTTATGAGTGCTGTTGTCTGAGCCAGCCTGACCCGGTGGGCACTTTAGAGTTGGAGGGACTTGAGGATAGAGTCCGAGCAATGGGGACTGAGTGGGTAAAACATCCCTCACTGATGGGGTAAAATGTTTCTGAGGGAAGATCTTACGTGTGGTTTCCTGGACCCTGAACTCGGTGGTTCCCCCACAGCCAACTGTGAGGGAAGATACTGCGAACATGGATTGACGTCTCATCAAAAAACTCCTCAAACTCCAATGGCAGAGCTGTGAGGGGAGGAGATACAGAGTGTGATGATTATACAGAGCTGTGAGGAGAGAGAAAGTGGAGATTATACAGAACTGTGAGGAGAGAGGGTGGAGAGTGCCGAGATGTGAGGAGAGAAAGGGGAGATTACACAGAGATGTGAGGAGAGAGTGTGGAGATTACAGAGATGAAACAGACAGGCAGAAAGAGAGACAGAAAGAAGAGGCAGCCTGGCAGGAGTTGGATGGGTAGGCTGGCAGGCAAGCAGGCACACAATGAAACAGACACAGACAGAATGAGAGATAAACAAAGAATCAAAGATAGAAAGAAATACAGAGAGACAGACAGCCAAATGGACAGGGGGTGAATGGATGGACAGACAGACGAACAGAGGATGGAAAGACACACAGAAAGAGGAAGAGACAGACAGACTAATAGAGAGACAGAGACAGAACATACAGATAGACAGAGGGACAGACAGAGACAGACAGAGCCAGACGAAGACAGACACAGACACAGACACAAGACAGGCAGAGACAGACAGAGACAGACACAAACAGATAGAGACAGACAGAGACAGACAGATGGCGTTTCTTACATCTGGCCACTGACCGCACATTCAGTGACTGGTTTCTCCTTAGCTCGACTCCGTACTGACAACAGAGCAGGAAGACCGCCCTGCACCTCCGCTCTCTCACCCTCTCCACTCGACGGCCACAGCTGTACCTCATCGGGATCTTGGTCAGTCCATCCGTACAGCACTTCCTGAGCCTGGGCTCAGTGTACTGATTCACTGGAAGACAAACAGGCAGAGCCGTCAGCCTGTCAGCCTGGCTCAGTCAGCAACACTCACGTCTCTGAGTCAGAAGCTTGTGGGTTACAGTCCAACATTGGCCACAAAATATAAAGTCAATTCACTTTACATTATATTCTGTAAATTTCTTTGAGACATCTTGAAGGCCCTATATCAAATGCAAGGATTATTATGTCAGCTCACAATCTAAGATGCTTTATTGCAGAATGGATGGATTTCCAGATCCTCACACTCACACACAAATCATTTCACCTTCCTACCCCTCTGACCACTCACACTCTACTCCACTACCCAATGCTCAGCCATTGCTCGGCTGGCTCTTATTTTCTGCATGTCCCTCATACTCTCTGCTCCACAATCGGCAGCTGTACTTCTAGCCATCATGCCCTGAGGCTCTCCTACTGCCTTCCTCAATCATTGCCTGTCTGCAACTCAATGTTGACAAGACGGAAGTCACATTCATTTGCTCCCATCAATATCTTCTATCCTGCAACTCTGACCTCCTTAACCTCTGCGACGTATCCCTCAGACTACCGAACCGTGTGCAACGTAAGCGTCAGGTCCAACTTACAGCTGTCCTTCCTTCCCCACATCCGGTCCCTGACCAGGACCACATTCCTCTGCCTCTGTAAAATTGCTCACCTCCATGACTTCTCGACTCAACTTCTCAAAGGCCCTCTATTCCACTAACTCCACCATGCACAGGATCCAGCTAATCCAAAACACTATTGCCCACATACTCATCCGCACTAATCTCCGTACCCCCATCACACCAGTTCCCTATCACTAAATGGATCAATTTCAAGATCCTCACACTCATTTTCAAATCCCCTCATGCCCTTGCAGCTCTCTACCTCTCCGACCTGCTTCACAACTCACAACCCATTCCTCTGTTATTGTTGTTTGTTGTTGTGTTGTCGACTTGCTTCGGCCTTCTGCATATCCCTCGTACCCTCCGTTCCACCATTGATGGCTGCGCTATCAGCCATTATGCCCAAAACTCTGCAGCCCTCTTCCTCTATCCCTCAATTTTACTCTTTCCTTCCCCATCTTCAGGTCATATCTGAAGACCATCCTATTCAACTGTGCCTTTGGTCACCTCCCCTGGCTCGGCGTCATGCTCTACCACCGTCAAGTGCTCTGGGACGCTTCCCCTGCATGAGGAGACGCTAAATAAATGCAATTTTTTGTGGTTGTTATCTTGAGATTGCATCTGAAGTTCTTCCTCTTCGACAACACTTACAGTCACCTCGCCTCTCACCTGGCTTGGCGTGAAGGATGCTATATAAGTGTAAGTTGTTGTAAATCACGCTTACATCCTTCCTCTTTGAACGTGCCTATGGTCAGCTCCTCCTACCCTCTCCCTTGGTGTCCGACCCCTGTGCAGCGCTCTGAGACATTACTGTTCAAGATAGGGTACTGTGTAAATGTGAATTATTGTTTTGGTTCCTACATTTGTTGGTGTATTCTTTCTGAACATCCAGCGATCGTTTCTGCCTCCTGGCATCTTCCTCACATGAATATCCTGAATGTGGAACAAACAGTGCAACAAGGTTGTTTTGGAGACTTTTAAGCATGATGGTAGGTTTTTGCATGGTTCACACACCCGGTTGAATGAAAAGAAGCAATAACTTACAGAATCGAGATGCTTCTGAACAAGCAATCTTTCAGGCGGGAAACTGAGGGGTATTTTTTACCTTTACGAAATTCTGACTTTGCCACATCAGAGAGAAATGTCAGTCCGGCATCCATAAATACTCCAACAGTGTTTGCTCCACCTCCATAATAACACCCTAGGTCATACGAGTTCATCGCTTCAAAGACCTTTTGACAAACCAACAAGGTTACTGCCATTACCACAACAAATATAAACCAACAGCAACTTGCATTTATTGGGTAACACTAGTAACACTTCACAGTGATTAACAGTGGTGGGTCTTGTCACTGAGCCAGAGAGAGGTGGGAGTTAGGCAGGGTCAAAGAGGAAGGTCTGAAGATAGGTGAGGTAGAGGGAGCGAGGTAGAGGGATTGAAGCAGAGTGATAAAGTTTCGGGTGCAGTGACTGATTGAAGAAAGCATTGGAGAAACCGAAATAAGAGGTAATAACAATCCTGGCATTTGATGAAGCAACTCTCACATCACACGATATACAGTAAAGTGAAATGACTGTGTATTTTGTGGGAAACGTGGTATTCAATTCGCGCACAGCAAAAGCACAAACCAATTTTATTTGGAGGATTCGTGGCCAAGAGAGAGGTACTAACTTCTCTTTTCCAATTGGCCATTGGGTCCTTTAAAGTCCACCTGACCATAGTCCTTGTGGTTTAACGTCTCAACCGAAGTACTGTGCCTCCGATAATGCAGCATTCCCTCCAGCACTGAACTGGTGTAGAGTGAGAGAGTGATTGTAGACGGTGTGTGATGTGGAGTCATGAGAAAGTCACTGCATCACATCACTCTGGAATTCCCTTCCTCACTCCCTTCGCCTCGAGGGCACTATATAAATTCAAGTTGTTGTTGTTGTTGCAGAATGAGACTCCACATACCTTTCTGGCTGTCAACTTGTACTTGTTGTTCACAATGTAAACAGCTGAATCCACAGCCACCATGGCCACATCGGCAGCATCATCCGTGCTCAGTATGACATTAAGGTCACTGCCGGGAGCGTGCCTTTGATCCATCTCCTTTACTTCAATCTGACAAAGGCGAGCACAGAGCCACATATCACATGAAGGGTCAATATACTATAATAATCATAATAGTATAGTGCCCTAATACATCTCACAGGATACACTGTAATGTGTAGTGACTGTGTACTTTGTGGGCAAAACACAGCAGCCAGTTATGCACAGCATTGCCCCGCAAACAGCCACTCAGCGAGTGACCAAGGTTATTTGGGGGATTTGTCAGACAGGACACCAGGAGACAACCTCCCTTATCTTTTTGAATAGAGCCAGAAGATCTTCAACACCCACCTGAACATGCAAAAGGGACCTCACTTTAACATCTGAATAATTAATATTGATAAGTGATAACAATTAACATTAATTATTAATAAATAACATTAATTAATAATAGCTAACATTAATTTATAATAATCAACTAATAATAACTAGGAATGATAATTAATTAATATTAATAATTAGTGATTAACCGTTAATCGTAATAAGTAGATCGAGTTCAAGATTCTGGTCCTCACCTTTAAATCCCTCCATATAACTCTATGTTACTTTATGTAACATTGTGTTACTCTATGTTATACACTACTCTATGTAACTCTGTGTTACTCTATATTATTCTATGTAACTCTATGTTACTCTGTGTTACCCTGTGTTACCCTGTGTTACTTGATTTTACTCAATGTGATGAGTTGGTTGTGAAAGCCTTACCTTTCCCTCACATTCGTCCTTCACATCGACCCATAAAGAGTTGGCCACCATCTCGCTCCTGTGGTCATTACCGATGTAATAATAGGCAATGAGGCGAAACGTCGGGACCAGACTCACATCCACTGGGATGGTAAGTTCAGTCTTTTCCAACCTGCGGGTCTTACCAGCTCGAACTACTCTGCCCTTGTTTGTAACCTGTGGGTACAACAAACCAGAGAATTACTGGGCAGGACTGGGGTAAAGGAGGAGAGATGACAAGACGGGTCTCAGCCTTGACTCAGTTATGCTCTCACCTCTAGACTTAGAAGCTTGTAGGTTGGAGCCACTGTGTGTCAGATTGTAGGCTAACATTCCAGTGCAATGCCGGGGGGGAATACTTACCCGGAACAAACTCTGGACCACCATCACCAAACGGATTGAATTCAAGATCCTCACACTCGTGTTCAAATCCCTTCACCTCTCTGACCTCCTCACTCCGCAATCCACCACCCAGTGCCTCTGCTCAACTACCTCCCATCTCCTGCTTGTCCCTCGCATCCTCCTCTCTACCATTGGAGGTCGCACATTCAGCCACGTTGCCCTCAAACTCTGGAAGACTCTCCCTCTGTCTCTCCACTTTCTCCCCTCTCTCCCCTTTTTCAAGTCCTGCTAGAAAAGCTTCCTTTTCGACCATGCTTATGGTATCCACCCCAACCACACCAGGACACTGGAAGAGAGAGAAACAAACTTCTCTTTCCCAATAGTGCAGTGGGAACATTTTAATGTCCACCTGAACATGGCACAGATAGGTCTTGGGTTTAATGTGTCAATCTGAGCACGGTGTCTCTTTCAACACAGCGCTCCTCCAGCACTGCACGTGAGTGTCAGCCTAGACTATGTGAGCTCAAAGTCCCCGATATGTGGTGAGAAAGGGAAGAAGTTTCAACCCACAACTTACTGACCCCAGTGTCCAGCACATTAAGATTTATGAAAGTCTAAAAATTTACTGACCAGATAATAAATGTAGTCAACATCTCCAAGTTCCGGCTCAGTCACAGCTTCCAGTTGCACAGTGAGGACCTGTCCGGAGCGGACGAGAGTAGGCTGAACGTACATGTGAAGGTAGCTCCTGCTCACAGATTGATAGGCATGGACAATATGCACAGCTTGACTGAACTCTCTCCCCCGAGTCCCCTCACCAGCAGTGATCTGCCAAGGGTACATCTTCATTAGCTCAGATAAATAATCACATTATCGTACATTGAATTGCAGAGCCCTTTAGGTTGGGAGGACATCTCAAAGCACTTCACTGGATTCAATGTAAAGTGCAGTGACCGTGTATTGCAGGTGAACATGGCAGTCAATTTGCACACAATGATACACCACAAACAACCATGGAAGCGAGCAACTAATAGAGGAATTAGCTGTGAGCACCAATTAAGACAAGCTGTGGCTCTTTAGTCTTGAAAGAAGATGATTCAAAGAAGTGTTTAAAATTTTAAACAGGATTGAAAAAGTCAACCCAGAGCAATATTTTAGGTTGCACCAAGAACAAGGGGATGCAGATTTAGAGTGGCAATTTCAGGACAGATACCAGGATGTTTTCCTTTTCCCAGAAGGTAATCAAGAACTGAAACAGGATTGCCAGGAAGGGTGGTTAAAGCCAGGACATTGGAATTTGTTTTAAAAGCAGTTCGATGGGGAACAGTTGGGCAGGAGTTCTGGAGGAATGGGCAGAATGGCTTTTTTTTTATTCGAACCAATCCATCTCTTTCACAGGCTACAAATATGCAGAATTGTGTACTCCAGTGCTGCGCAGTCCTTGATATGAAAATGGCTTCCAAATTCAGGAAAGAATAGTCTAGAGAACAGTCTGAATCCTCCGGCTATCGGGAATTTTTCAGGCTATGGATGGACAGGCAGTTGATCCACAGGCAGTGGATGGACAGGATCTGATGGACAGACTGTGGATGGACAGGCAATGGATTAACAGAGAGTGGATGGACAGACTGTGATGGACAGGCTGTGATGGACAGGCTGTGGATCTCCAGGCAGTGGATTGACAAGAGTGGATGGACAGACTGGGGATGAACAAGCAGTGATGCACAGGCTGGAATAGACTGGCTGTGATGGACAAGCAGTGGATAGGTCAGGCAATGGATGGACAGGGAATGGATGGACAGGCTGTGATGGACAGGCAATGGATAGACAGGCAGTGGATGGATAGACAGCGGATGGAAAGCTGTGATGGCCAGGCGGTGGATCCACAGGCAGTGGATTGACAGATAGTGGATGGACAAGCTGTGATTGACAGGTGGTGGATGGACAGGCAATGATGGACAGGCTGTGATGGACAGGCAGTGGAAGGACAAACTATATGGCCAGGCAGTGGATGAATAGAATGTGTTGGACAGGCAGTGGATGGAAAGGCTGTGATGGACAGGCAGTGGATAGAGACTATGTTGGACTGGCTGGGGATGGACAGGATGTGATGGACAGGGACTGGATGGACAGGCTGTGATGGACAGGCTGTGATGGACAGGCAGCGATGGATAGGCAGCGATGGACACGCTGTGATGGACAGACTGTGATGGACAGGCTGTGATGGACAGACTGTGATGGACAGGCTAGGGATGGCCAGGCTGTGATGGACAGGCAGTGGGTGGACAGGCAATGGATGGTCAGGCAGTAGAGGAATAGGCAGTGGATGGTCAGGCAGTAGATGGACAGGCTGTGATGGACAGGCAATGGATCCATAAGCAATGGATTAACAGGCAATGATGGACAGGCTGTGATTGACAGGAGGGGGATGGACAGGCTGTGAAGGACAGGCAATGAATGGACATGCAGTGGATGGACATGCAGTGGATGGACATGCAGTGGATGGACAGGCTGTGATGGACAGACTGTGATGGACAGGCTGTGATGGACAGACTGTGAAGGACAGGCTGTGGTGGACAGGCTGTGATGGACAGGCAGTGATTGACAGGCTGAGGCTGTGGATGGACAGGTGGTGAATGGATGCTCACATTCACAGAGAGAATGCTGGCGTTAGCGGGGGCAACCACTTCAAACACCACTGTGCCGGTCTCATCCGTGTACAAGGTATATCCTTCTACTGTCACTGGAATATTTGGGGTAGGAGATTGGTCAGGAGACGTCACCAACACCTAATAAAAAGCAGATCACATACAGTGAGTATCACACAGTGAGTCTATTACACAGTGAATATATCACACAGTGAGTGTAATAGTAATACTATTAATAATCCTTGCATTTGTCACAGCACCTTATCAAGTCTTCGAGATGTCTCAAAGTTCTTTGTACGATATAATGTAAAGTGAATTGTGGAGTCCTGTAGCTCAGTGGTTAGAGCACTCGCTTTGCAAGTGAGAGACCTGAGTTCAATTCCAGGCAGAGGGCCAAACCTTGGGCAAGTTTCCTTACTCCACACAGAGCCTAATAATAATCCCTCCAAAAAACCAAAAACAATAATTAAATTGGTCATTTTCAATCTACGACTGTTTGTGGGACATTGCTGTGCGCAATTGGCTGCCGCGTTCGCCCACAAATATACAGTCAATTCACTTTACAGTGTGTTCTGTGAAGCGCTTTGGGACGTCCTCCCGACGTGAAAAGCGCTATATCAAATGCAAGGATTATTATTATTATTATTATTAATTGACTGTACATTTTGTGGGTGAAATGCAGCAGCCAATTGTGCACAGCAGTGTCTCACAAACAGTCGTGGATTGAGTGACCAATATTTTTTTGTTTGAAGGAATTATTATCCCCGGAAAAGTGATTCGCCAATCGACTAACAGCTGGGTTCCTACTTGCTGCTAGCTAAACAGAGCCGTGTGGAGTAAAGAAACTTGCCCAATGTTTCGCCCTATGTTTCGGTCTATGCAGCTGGTTGAGAACAGCTACAAAATGATTGCACTTAATCATAATCCTTGCATTTCATATAGCGCCTTATCACATCTTCGCGACATCTCAAAGCACTTCACAGAATATACTGTGAAGGGGTAGGAAACTTGCCCAATATTTTGCTCTGCCGGGAATTTTAACCTAGGTCCCTCACTTGAGGGCAAGTGCTCTAACTACTGAGCTACAGGGCTCCACACAGTCACCTGTGTTGCAGTGAGAGCTATGTGGATGTTGGGGTTTTATTCAAAGAGAAGGGTATTATTTATCTGCTCTATACGATGGCTTTCTTACCACCACGGGAAATGGAAGGCCAGGTGCGAAGTGTCGCCGAGTCTTTGATAAATCGATCACATATGGCGTTGCAACAAATGGAATTCCACTCACTTCGGTTTCCTCCAATTCACCACCTGCAGCAAAACACGCGGCTTTAATATTATAATAATAATAAGCCTGGGATTTAATATCACACTGGGAAGTCATCTCAAAGTGCCTGGAAGTATCTATTGTAAATTGCAGTGGCTATGTGTTTCATAGATGAATGCTGGGGCCAATTTGCACACAGCAACATCCCCACAAAAGCCATGAAGTTAGTGACAATTTTATCTGGGGGATTGTCAGCCAGGACAATCTCTTTCTCAATAGTGCAGTGGATCTTTAATGCCCACCTGAACAGGTACAGATGGGCTTTGTTAAACGTTTCATTTGAACAATGCCTCTGACAACAATAATAATAATAATTCTTGCATTTGATATAGTGCCTTATCACAGCTTTGTTATGCTCAAAGTGCTTCAGAGTATATATTGTGAAGTGAATTGACGATATGTTTTGTGGGCGAAACGCAGCAGCTAAATTCGTGGATTGAAGTGACCAAATTATTATTAGCATTTTTTTTGAAGGAATTATTACCTCCAGAAAAGCAATCCACTAATTGACTAACAACCAGGTAAACAGAGGCACATGAAGTAAGGAAACTTGCCCAACATTTTGCCCTGTCTGCGAATCAAACCCTGTCTCTCGCTTGCGAGGCGAGTGCTCTAACCACTGAGCTACAGGACTCCACCAGCACTGCACTGGAGCATCGCCTGGACGAGCTTAGCGTCCTTGACCTGGGTCTGGTTCAGCTGATAGCGTGAGAGGCTCAGCCAGGCTAACAATGAGCTCATTATGGTTCAAGCATAATTATTCTGATTTCTGATTGATATAATTATCAATATGTTAAATCTATCTGATGTTTCTACTTACTGGCTGTTTCAAACACAGTGAGAGCCACGTACAGCCGGGAACCCACCAGTTTGTTCACACTTGTCAGCATCTTCAACTGTTCCAGCAGGTCTTGAGTCTTTAAAGAACACGAGACCTCCCCGTTCTTCATCTGAAATCAGTCACAACAACAACAGATCAGTCATGTCTTCTATTGATTGATTGATTGATTGATTCCGGAATGATAATCTCTTCCACACCAGTCATCGGCTCTAGATCAGGCATTGCTTTTGGATCAGACAACACTTCTAGAATAGTCATTGCTTCTAGATCAATCATCACCTCTTAGATCAGTTATTGATTCCAGATCAGTCATCTTTTCCAGATCAGTCATCATTTCTCAGTCAGTTACCAGTTTTGGATCAATCATCTATTCTAGACCAAGCATTGCTTCCAAAACAGTATTTACTTCTAGATCAGTCATCGCTTCCAGATTGATTCTAGATCATGCTTAGATTTACACTTCACTCCGCACAGATCTCTCGCTCGCATGCTTCAACTCATCCAAACATTTGCTGCCAGCATCCTCACCTACATCATACTCTGCAGACTCATCACCCCTGCCCTCACTAGGCTCCATTGGCTCATTGGCTCCCAACCATTCACTTCAAGATCCTCACCATCATCTACAAACCCATCTACTCCCTGATACCTCCTCATTTCTCTGATCTACGCTAATCTGTTCATGCCCTCTAACTCAGGCCTCTAACTAACTGAGCAATCAGGCCTATTGTGCCCCACCCTCTCTTCTCAACCATCGATGGCCGAGCCTTCAGTCACTTGACTCCTTACTCCTGGAATTTGCTCCATTTCCCACTCCATCGCCCCCTCCTCTGTTTCTGTCATTAAACCTCGCCTTGAATCCAAGCTCTTCTAATGTGGGTATGATCATCTTCCCCTCTCCCTTACTCGGTATTTAACACTGTCCCTTTGAGCACTCTGAGACAAAGAAACAACAACGGCTTACATTGATATAGTGCCCTTCATTTGGGGCAGAGTCTTGGAACGCTTAAGAGCATTGCCCTATTCGATGGTTCTGTATAAATTCAAGTTGTTGTTGTCATCGTCGATGTATTGGCCATTCTCCAGCTCAACCCTCTGCACCTAGTGGTGGCCAACTTTTATAGTCGTCCAACAAAATAAATTTTCTTAATTGAATATTTCTTGGTTTATGCCATAAATCAAGAAACAGTCAATCAAGAAAGAAACGGAAACCACACTAACGATCAAAGATGGACTTTGTTAAACTGAGTTTTCTGGTTGTAATATTGATTTTCTGGTTCTCAATTGCTGGGCTGACATGACAGGAAGGGGAGGAAATCTTGCTCTCATCTGGCCAAAACAATTAAACTTGATAAAAAGTTAATTTTTGCCAGGAGAAATTATTTCACATTCATCACTTCTCTCGCTTCTCCCTCGTCTCCTGTGAATCCAACCCCACATCGGGGACATTTAGCTCACAGTCCAGGCTGACATTTTAACAAAGTTACTGTTGATGAGGATGAGGGAAAGTGCTGCATTTTGTCAGAGGTGCCACGCTTCAGATGAAACATTACATTGAGCTCATGTGGGCGTTAAAAACCCTGCCATGCTATTGGAAAAAAAAAGGGAGTTTCTTTCTTTCACTCTCTCTCTCTCTCTCTCTCTCTCTCTCTCGCCCAGTGTCCTGGTCAACAGTCCACCAGCTTAAATCGGCCATTCACCTCCTGGCTGTTTGTGAGATGTCTGTGCAGGCAAATTGGCTGCTGAATTGGTCAACAAATCCCCTTGGCAGGATTTACCCGTCAAGCGTTTTTAGAGGCTTTTCAATATCAAACATAATATACTCCAAATCCCCCCAAAAATGGCACAATCTCTCTCCCTGGGAGCACGACAAAGATCTGCAGTTTTGTAATGTTTGAAGGAGCGAAAGCGGCTATGAGGGCTGATCTGGCGTGTCTGCTGCCCTTTCCTCGTTCCACTTCATATTTCTCTTCAAATATTTGTTTGCAAGATTATTGAACTCCCTTCACCCGGTGTGTCTGTTCACCAGTCCAACTCTGAAAAGTTGTGTTTTTTGGGAATGATATTAAACTCATTCAAGCCACTTGTGCAGCTCCAGGCTCCTGCACATTCCTCATCCCCATCTCCCCACCATCAGCTCCTGGGATTTTAGCTACTCCATCTCAAGATTCTGTCATTCCCTGCCTCAAACTAACTGCCTTGTCCCCTCCTTCAGATCACTTCTGAAGACCTTCCTCTTCGACGATGCCTACAGTCACCTCACCCAGTCCTTGCATAGCATAAAGCTCTGCTACTGTTAAGCACTCCAAGATGTTATATGAGTATAAGAGGCAATATGAGTACTACTAATAATAATCCTTGCATTTATATAGCTACTTATCATGTCTTCAACACGTCTCAAAGCGCTTCACAGAATGTACTGTAAAGTGAATTGACAGTATATTTTGTGGACAAAACACAGCAGTTAATTGCACATAGACGTGTCCCACAAACAGTCGTGGATTGAGTGACCAAATAATAATAATTATTATTTTTAAAGGATTATTACCCCTGGAAAGGCGATCCACCAATTGACTAACAACTGGGTTCCTACTTACTGCTAGATGAACGGAGGCATGTGGAGTAAGGAAACTTGCCCAATGTTTCACCCTGTCAGGAATCTAACCCAAGTCTCTCACTTGCGAGGCAAGTGCTCTAACCACTGAGCTAGAGGACTCCATGATAAGAGGATAAGAGACAATAAGAGTATTGAAGCATGTAGACTCCTCACCACACCCCACTCCCAGATCCACTCACTCTCAGTTCTTGCTCCAAGCCTCCCAAGTTTGTCTTATTGCCATTTTGATCGAGGATTCCGAATCTGACGTATGCCTTCCCATCCACGCGTTCCCCATATGTGTGTCTGTGGAAAATAACAATAATAATCATCCTTGTATTTGATTATGGCACTTTATCATGTTGTGAAGGCATCTCAAAGTACTTCACAGAATATACTGCATAGTAAATTGACTGTATATTTTGTGGGCAAACATTGCCTAAAACTGTAAAACACAGGGCCGGACTATGTGTTTTGTGGGCAAACATGGCAACCAATTTGCACACAATGACATTCCGCAAACAGAGATGAGTCAAGTGATTTTATCTGGGGGATTGTTGGCTAGCAGAGAGAAACTCCCTTCTCTTTTCTAGTAGCGCTGTGGGAACCTTAATGTCTACCTAACACCTCATCCGAAGGACAGCACCTCTCACAAGGCAGCGCTCCCCCAGCACGGCACTGGAGTGTCAGTTTAGAGTATGTGACTTACAAATCCCGATGTGGAGCCTTGAACCCACAAACTTCTGACTCAGAGACAAGGGTGTAACCAATACACTCTTGTTGAAGAGGAAGATGGATAGAGACTGATGAAGTGAGGGGGATTAAGAAGTGTGGCGGGAATGGCTTGCCACTTGCCTCATTGCCTAAATAGAGTTCTTACATTGCCAGAATTTTGAAGCTGAATTCATCCTTTGACACGAGGTAGAACATTTCTGAGGCTTTGATCTTGATTTCAAACCGGGGGAGAACTGCACAAAAAACAGATGACCATAATACATACCATACATTATATCATAAATGTTCCTCACAGTAATATGGCACAAACATAAACAGGAATTGTTGGTCTGTGAAGTCCCTGTGTGTTTTACCGGTGAATACGGATGCTAAATTGCATGCAACAAACTCTCACAAACAGCTGTGAAATAAACAACTGATTTTATCTGGCGGTTTGTCGGTCAGTGCACCGGGAGGGAGAAAAACTCATTTCTCTTTCCAAATAGCGCTCTTTGATCTTTAACGTCACCTGAATGGGGGCAGACGTGGAGCTCGGTTTAACATTTCACCTGAAGGATGGTGTCTCTGGCAAGATGGTGTTCTCTCTCTCTCTCATCACTGTACTGGATGGGGCTTGAACCCACAATCTTCTGACTCAGAGGCAAGAGCACTACCACCAGAGCCAGGCTGATACTCATTGTTCATGTGTGAGGCTGGACTGTGACTGTTGACAGGCTGACATAGTTGAGTGTGATTTGGCTCCACCCTGGCTGCAGTACACATGCACAGCCAGTAGTGGGTGCTGCAGAGGGACCAGGAGCAGGAGTGCTGACTGGTTTCCCCCCACTTACCCTTGGAATTAATTAAATCCTCAATGCAGCCCAACTGAGCCCAGCAAACTCAACACAAACAGCAAGCTCCTGGCTTGTAAGCCGTAGCTCTATCCGCTATGCTAGCGGAGAAGTAGCTGCGCCAAACTCAGTGACTCTCATCCTCAGCCTGGTTGAAAATCCTGGTCCTCACCTACAAAGCTCTGAATGGTCTCGCCACACCCTATTTCTGTGACCTCCTAAGTCCCTACCAACCCGCCCGCTCCCTCCGCTCAGCTGGCTCTGGTCTGCTTCACGTCCCCCGACCCACCCACCCCACCATTAGCCATTCAGCTACTCTGCCCCCAACCTCTGGAACTCCATCCCCCAATCACTCCACCTCGTCCCCCCCATTTCAAGTCCCACCTCAAAACCCCTCTTCGACCATGCCATTGGTTACACCCTTCCCCTCCCCTTCCTTCTCCCCCCTGACCCCAGTTCAGTTCTGAAATGCTGTACACTGTCCAGTGCCTTGGGATGTCCTTCTGATGTGAAAGGCGCTATACAAATGTAATCTTGTTGTTGTATTATTAATTTTACTATTTAGCACTCACCGAACTCCTTGACCTCAAACTGTGTAGACACCTTGGACATCGTGGAATCGGAAAACTGAGCCTCGATCCTCCAATTCCCAGGTCTTGGATGGAGCAAATAGAATGAGGAAAAGGATTGGGTTTAAACAGGTTCTTAGGGAAATAAGAGTCAATCGTCTGATTGCGAGGGTGCGGAGCCAGACAGAACGTTTCACATTCCAGATTAATACCTGGCAACTCCGCAAGAGAAATGATCAGGGAATCACTATCATTATTGATTCACATCCAGTGAGTATTGGTTATGTAGATTATTGATTTTGTATATTATTCTTAAGTTTATAGATTATTCCTGATTTTATAGTTATTGATTTTATAGGTTGTTATTGTTTTTCAGTATTCTTATTATTGATTGGGATTATTACCATAATTGATTTGACCATTTCTTTTATTGATCAGTGATATTCCCTTTATCAATTGGAATCCTATCATTGGGAACGTTCCCATAATAGTTTGGGAACATTCTCATTATTGATTGCGAATATTTTCCCATTATTGATTGAGAGTTTCCCATTATTGTGGACCGTTCGCTTTATGAAAGAAGGGATGATATCTATCACTCACGCCGCATTGTCGGGAATTCTGATGTGATGGAGTAAGATTTTCCCAGATTTCCGGATATCCGCTGTGATCTGCATATTTTTGGAATTCTGGGAAGAGGCAAAAGTATTATGCCTCTCGTCTTTAAAAAACAAACGTCCCATAGAGAGCTACACAGGTTGTTTATTACTGACTGAACAGGTCAACAGTCCAACCAGTTTGTGTCAGTGTTTATGCTACACACAAGCCCTCCTTCCCACACACGCGGCCCCCTTCTTCCCCCCCCAACCCCCCACCGCCTCTATTCTCCTCTCTTACACCCTCTATTCCACTCCCCAACACCCTTCTATTCCCCTCTCCTACCCCGCTCTACTTCCTCCTCCTATACCCCTCTATTCCACTCTCCAACACCCCTCTATTTTCCACTCCAATAACCCTCAATCCCTCTTTCATATACCCCTCTATCCTCCTCTCCTACAACCCTCTATCTTCCTCTCCTACACCCCTCTATCCTCCTCTCCTACACCCTTCTATTCTCCTCTCCTACACCCACCTATCCTCCTCTCTTACACTCCTCTATTCCCCTTTCCTATACCCCACTATCTCCTACTTGTAAACCCCTCTATTCTCTTTTTATATACACCCAGTTTTCAGTTTCATCACTTGACAGCCATTGGCTGTGTAGATATTGAAGCTGTATCACATATAAGTTTTCTGAACGAGTGATATTAAAGGATGAAACTCACGAACACGCTGAAGAGTATTTCCTCATCCACCGGCCTCATGTGGTGATCGAGAGTGAAGATACTGAACCTGACTGGGGTGACAAGAGCGTCAAATAAAGGCGTCCAACTCTGTGACCCATTTCACATTGCATGCCCTCTCCACAGAGAGACACAGAGACTGATAGAGAGAAACAGAGATAGAGACTGACAGAGAGAGAGAGAGAGACTAAGAGAGAAGGACTGAGAGATAAAGAGAAAAGACTTGGATTCAGAGAGAAAAAAACTGATAAAGAGAGACAGACACAGAGAGAGACAGAGACACAGAGAGAGGTGACCCTGACTATTTTGAAGCCCCCTCCCCACTCACCATTCTCCTCGGGGGTGTAGATGGACTTGTCGGTCCGAATGAAAATATAACCCCTCTTGGAGGAGAGGCGGACATGGACCATCCTGCGACGCCTGAACAGCTGATCACTCTCAGCCACCAGAGTCACATAATGCTGGTGTCGTCTCCAAAGCTGAAGGTTGCGGGCTGTCTCTGGGGAAACCTAGAATAATAATCATAGAATTATACAGCCCATCGTGTCTGTGCACGCTCTTTGAAAAGACCTATCCAAACCAATCCCACTGTCCCGCTGTCTCCCCATAGTTCTGCAAACGTGTCCTCCCCAAATAATTAGCTAGTTTAATTATGATTAACAATAATACGTAATATGAAGGTCAATAATACTAGATTATTAATAATACGTTTGCCCCTATTTATAGCATATCAATCTACGACTGTTTGTGTTGTGCACAATTGGCTGCCACATGTTGCCCACAAAATACACAGTTACTGCACTTTACAGTATATTCTGTGAGGCTCTTTGAGGCATCTTGAAGACATGATAAGGCACTATATCAAATGCATTGATCATTATTATTATTAGAGTAATAATATTAATCCTTAATAAGGATACATGTTGTTAATGTGGCTGTTAATAAGACAATTCAGAATTGGCTTGACAAAATATCCCATGCACAAAGTATCTCCTAGTAAGTTCAAACATACTACAAACATATTTTTGCCTACAAAATATACAGTCAATTTTCTTTACAGTATGTGTTAAATGCTTTGAGACGTCTGAAAGATGTGGTCCCAGTGCTGCTTTGGAGCATCATCTTAATCCTGTAGCTCAGTGGTTAGGGCACTTTTCTCGTAAGCGAGAGACCCAGGTTTGATTCCCGGCAGGGCGAAACATTGGCCAAGTTTATTATTATTATTATCCAAACCTACCCAACCCAACTGCAACCCATTCCACCCAACCCAACTCCACACCAAGTTCTCCCCTTGCCTGGATGTGTCCACCGGTGCAGTCCCTTCCTCACTCTGTGCTCCCACCCCCTTCCCACAACTTGCTCACCTGCCTGTCTTCCACTCACCCGTATGGTCCGTATCTCCTGGAATGAGTTCCCTGCGTTCAGGTGGAAGCCAACATGATCCGAACAGTTGGTGTTTCTGATGATGTCCCAGCAGTAAACAGTGACGGTGACCGGAAGCTCAGCTCCGTGAAGCTGAACAGAGACACTCTCCTCAACGCCCACATGCATGATGTTTGGGCCGGTAATCATGTAACTAAAGACACACATGGAACAGAGTCAATGCGAGTGGAGAAGGTACAGTGGAAAACAATAAGCACCATCCTGTTTACCTAGCAGAAAGTGGGAACCCGGTTGTTAGCAGATTGACAGATCGATTTTCCATGGGTAATAATTCTTTCAAAAATAACAAGAATAAATTGGTCACATAAATGCTAGATTATCTGTAGGACGCAACTGGCTGCCGCATTTTGCCCACAAAATACACAGTCATTTCACTTTACATTATATTCTGTGAAGCGTTTTGAGGCTGTGAAAAATAATAATAATCATCATAATGAATTGACTATATTTTGTGGGCGAAACATGGTAGCCAATTGCGCACAGTATCCCACATACAGTCACGGATTCAAGTGATCAATTTGTTGTTATTAATTTTTGGCAGGAATTATCACCCCTGGAAATGTGATCCGTCAATTGATTACATCTGAGTTCCTACTTACTGCTCGGTAAACAACAACACAACAACAACAACAACAAGATTCCATTTATAGAGCGCCTTTCACGTCAGGAGGACGTCCCAAGGCGCTGCACAGTTGGGTCATGACCCGAGCAGGGGGGAAATGGTCAGGGTGAGGGGAGGGAAGGGAGGGAGAGAGGAGGGGGGAAATGGTCAGGTGAGGGGAGGGAAGGGAGGGAGCGAGGAGGAGGAAGATAGTCGAGAGGGGAGCTGAAGGCACGGTCAAAGAGAAAGGTTTTGAGACCGGCCTTGAAGGAGGAAAGGGAGGAAGCAAGGCGAGGAAACAGAGGCTTGTGGAGTAAGGAAACTTGCCCAATTTTTCACCATGCCAGGAATCGAACTCAGATCTCCCTCTTGCGAGGCGGGTGCTCTAACCACTGAGCTATAAGACTCCACAAGCTATTGCTGTTCAGTCTTGAGAGAAGATGGCTCCCACACAACAACAAATTACATTTGTACTGTCGCTTTCACGTCAAGAAACTCCTCAAACCTGCCAAACTGCTGGCTTGGTGGACATTGCTCTGCTTCACGTCCCCTACTATGTCTATCCCACCAACAGCAGTCAGGCCTAGAAAATTGGAGTTTGTACCCCCACTCTCTGGAGCACCCTCCTGCAGTCGCTTCACCTCGATATTTCCCTCGCCTCCTTCAGGATCTATCTCAAGACCTTGCTGTTTGACATAGTCTTTGGTTAGCTTCCCCCCACAAACCCCTAGCCCTCCTTCCCTCTTGATTCCAAACCCCAACTCATGTACAATCTCTCGAATATCCAGCGTCTTGGGATGTCTACGCAACGTGAAAGGTACCATATCAATGCAAATTGTTGTTGTTTTAAGCTCTTTGTCTAGTTGCCTCTTGAAGGCACATGGATTCTGCCTCAACCACCGGCAGGGCATCCGGTATTCCAACAGCTCTGTGCATGAAAACAAATTTTCCTAATCTCAGAATCCTGTGTGAGGCAATACCTCCTGGAAATACCACAGCTTTTGGATTTGAGAGTATACAGATCTGTACCTTGGAGCAGATCCCACAAATTAGATCCCTCACATTTCCCCGTCCCCTGTCTCTGAAGGTCTAACTTACGAAGGAGTTTGTCTGGTCGCGGGCAGGATGGCACTGAGACAAAGGAGCAGCCCCCTCACCCACATGGTTGTGAGGTGGATCGCCAAGGTTGGTGTGACAGAGAGGATAACAGAGAGGGTGACAAAGAGGGTGACAGACACGGCAACAGAGAGAGACGTTAATAAGGAGACGAAAACAGAGACGGTAACAGACACCCTGTCAAAGTCTGACTGATGTCACTGAACAGGAAACCAGCTGTTTTCACAAGAAACAGAATATCTCCACATGAAGTTAATGATTGACTCGGGAACCATTGGGTGTCAGACAAGCATCACTGCCCCTACATCTGGTGGTTGTGGGTTCAAACCCCACATTACATTGAAATATTGGGCAAGTTTCCATACTCCAAACTCCTCTGTTTACCAAGCAATAAGTAGGACCCCAGTTGTTAGTGGATTGGTGGATCACTTTTCAGGGGATAATAATTCCTTAAAAATAATTGGTCACTCAATCCACAACTGTTGGTGGGACACTGCTGTGTGCAATTGGCTGCTGCGTTTTGCCCACAGAAGCTACAGTCAATTCAATTTACAGTTTATTCTGTGAAGCCCTTTGAGACATCTTGAAGATGTGATATATATCAAATGAAAGGATTATAATTATTGTATCTTGTGAAGCACGTTGATGTAATGAAATGCAAGGATTATTGTCAGTGGCAGTACAATGCTGGAAGGAGAACTGGATGTCAGAAATGCCATCCTTCAGATGAGACTGTCTGTGCCTGTTGAGATATTAAACAGATTGGATATTAATGACAATTCCCCCAGATAAAATTAGTCACTCACTTATTGGCTGTGTGTGGGCCATTGCTTTGTGGAAATTAGCTGCTGTGTTTGCGTGCAAAATATAGTCACTACCCCTTACAGTAATTGACTGTGAGAAGTTGGCACATTCTCCACGCTGGACTGAATGGCATTATTATTAGTAGTATTCCCTGTTATTATTGTTAATACTCACCATCATTGGGCCTGTGACGGCTGTCACCCTTTGATGTACATGCAAATTTTATTAAGGCTTTTGTACTAAGTCGTCTCTGCTTATCTCCTAACCCTGTTGGTGCAAGTTCCTATTTCAAAGTTAACTTAACCAAGTCAGAGTCACACACAGACAGGTATTCTCTGTTAACCCCAATGCACGGTAACTGGAATGTCTAATTGGAGTCGGCTTGCAATAGTAGACCTCCAATGTTGACGACTACCCTCCGAGGTGCTTACTCCTTTACTTGTCGAGAATATTACAAGGATACATATGGTAGAAACAACAGCTCTTTATTAAAACTTAGCAAACCTAGGCTACCTTGCATATAAGGAACACAACAATGGAAGGTATACAGCAATGGGAGCAAATATAACAATTACACGTAACTATAACCACTGACATAACAATACTACATTAGTAAATAACTATTAAGCTAACCTGACTGTACAGTAGTCCTGTACACGTCAGTACACACCAGACAATGACCATGAGTTAGCAACCAGGAGGAGCGCCAAACATTGCTTTATATGGGAGCGTTGCCGCTCTCCTCTCCTGAGAGCTGTCACTGCACCTAAGGACAATCAACAACAACAACAACAAAATTAAATTAGTAGAGCAGAACAACATCAGGGTAAGATCACCTGTTGCAGTTAGCACTTGTCACCAAGGGATGGCGATACGGCTCCACACAAACAGCATAGTCTCCGGTTATATTTACTTTTGTACCATATGAAAGGAAATAGTCAAAATTATTGTTTGATACCTTCCCAGGGCGTGTAAGAAAGATGGGACCAACAATAATAATAATCCTTGCATTTGATATAGTTCCTTATCAGGAGTTCAAATATAATTGTTTTAAGGAAGTATTACCCTTGGCAAAGCGATGTGCCTATCAATTAACCACCGGGTTTCTATTGACTGCTAGGTAAACAGAGGAGTGTGGAGTAAGGAAACTTGCACAATGTTTCACCCGGCATGGAAGCAAACCCAGGTCTCTTGCTTATGAGGCTTGTAAAGTACTTCACATGGGGACAAAACATTTTGGAAGGGACTATTATTTGAATGGAAGGATAATAATATGCACGGGAAATGAAAAGGACCTGAGTATGGGATTGACAATAAATTGAAGCTCTCCCAACAATGCCCTATGTCACTGAGTAAAGCAAACCAGATGTTGGAATGTATTGAAAAATCAAGCAGCCAAAATAGTGGGGTAATCCTGTCACTGTATAAATCATTGGTGAGACCATACTTAAGAGAGTGCTGTGCACAGTTCTGGCCGCAGCAGAACAAAAAGCATATTGGAGAACTCGAGAAGATACAGGGGAGGGCAATCAAACAGATAGAGGTTAATGAAGGACTGGAATATGAGGAGCAACTAAGTAAATTGTGCATGCTCATGCTGGAAAACAGAAGATTGAGAGGAGAGATGATTGCTCTCTTTAAGATTCTAAAGGAGCAAAACAATATAGATCAGCTGTTACTTTTTCAACTTGTCCAGAATAAAAAAAAAGGACACGGCCTGCGATTGAAGGCGGGTAGATTTAGAATGAGTCTACACAAACACTATTTCAATGAGTGAACAGTGAACCAGAATAGTCTCCCTATTGAGACGATTGAATCAGGAAGTGTTGATTCTTTAAAAAACAGATTAGATAGTTTTCTTTTAGGAAATAAGGAATTCTGGGTGTCAGACCGGACTGATCACAATGATAAATTTCTGTGGATAATATATACCCACCAAACAAAAGAAATTCTGCTTCTTGTCCTCTTCATCCCTCCACACTGAACAAACCCATATGAAACCCACCATTTTCTCCCTCGAACCCCTCTCCACCCAACTACTGACCACCCTATTGCCCTTTCACTGTCCACTACTGGTGGACATAATCAACCTGTCCTTCCCTTCTGGTATCGTCATCTTCAAAACTGCTGTTATCAGCATCTCCCTCCAAACCCACTCCACCCTCAAACCCTTAGTCAATCTTCCATCTTGCCTTCCTGCTGAGCCCTCTCCAGCTTTTAGCCACCCACAACCTCTGCTTCACAGACATACCAGTGCACAACCTAAACTTCCAGTTCAATTCTCAGGTCTCCTTCCACCTTAACATGTGTTCCTGACCAAGACTCCATCCCTGCCTCTTTGTCTTTCTCTGTCTCTAACTGACACCAAACACCATGCTCCTTTGTTACCCTCCTACCTGACGTCTCTAACCATCTCCCTCTCTCTTTCGCTCCAGCATCACTCAGTTCATTCAAAACTCTATTGTCTGCATCGTCTCCCGTCTGCCCATCAGGCTGTAGCTTGACATGCTTTGCTGGCTCCCAATGGATCGACATGAAGATCCTCATCCTCAACTACAAATCTGTTAATGACTCAGTACCTCCCTACCTCTCCGATTTCCTCCAACCGCACTCCTCTGCTCGCCCTCTCTGCTTAGTTAGCTTGTTTGACTGAAGTTTGAGATTCTATGTTCCTGAACTCCGGAACTCACTTCCTCTACCCCTTTGCCTTGCCCTCTCATTATGTGTTTAAAATGGCGGCAGGCTGGAGTGGAGGCCAAAATCCTGTTTTTTGCAATCCTGGCAAGTGGCTCAATCGGAGTCCCATTGGAGCTAAGCAGGAGTTCGTGGACTCGAGGCCTCCCACGGCGGGCGGCACGGAATAGGGGCTGAAACGACCTCACACGAGCGATGCCTGGAGCGAGGTCTCAACTCGACGACTGGAGCGGGCCTCTGGTTTACACGGGAGCGAGGCCGAGTGCGGCTTGAGGCCAGCGCCGGCATGGAGTCCGATACCCCCAACGGCATCCAGATCCAACGCGGGGGCCGAGGCCCCACTCACACATGGAGCTACATGGAGACAACGTGGGATTCACCGCCTCGGCCATCGCTGCCTTCGCTGACTCTCCTGGTCAACAGGCGATCAGAGACCGGCTTCCATGTGACGTCACATCTGCCCATCACCTGTAAACCTCTCAGCCTGGAATCACTGCGACAGTAACATTGTACCCCCCCCTCCCCATGATCATCCTCACTAGCGGCTAACCATGCCTTTCAATCTTACTCTCGGCGTGCACATTTTGGCTGCCGCCACCTACCTGAGCTGCCTCCGCATAATGCCCCCACCGCTGTCCTCTACCCTCCACTACTCCCACTCACTTCTCCTCTCCCACTGCCCTCCCCAACTCCTATCCTTGCTCAACAATCCCACAGTCCCCCTCTGCTCCAGCCTAAAAATTCTCCATCAGGCCAACCATGGAAGTCGCCGCTGGCTATCCAACAGCAGTCACTCTGACTTCCCTATCCCCCATTCTCATCGCTAGGCTCCTTTGCTCTTTTGTGCCTCACCAAACCTTACTTCAAATGCCAATTGCGAGGTGATGCCGGAATTCCTCAAATCCAAAGTCGAGGGAATCCGCTCAGCTGCCTCTGCCACTGAATCCCCCTCCCACCCTGGACCCTATGCATCCATCCCTCCACACATTTGAACCTGTCTCCCCCTTCTCACTCATCATCACCATAACCCGCTTGAAATGACCACCTGCTCCCTCGACGCCTTCCCTGCCCCCTTCCTTACCTCCCAGCTCCTTGCTCCTTGCCCCTCTACTCACTGATATCATAAACCTCTCCCTGTTCTATTGTGCTGTTCCCACCCCATTAAAAAACGCTGTCATCACTCCAATCCTTAAACTCTACTTAGACCCTTCCGTACCCAAACTGTCACCACTACTACATCCTCCCTTTCCTCTCCAAGGTCTTGAAAATGAGTTGTTGCTTCCCAGCTTTGCTCCTTCCTCTCCCACAACTACCTTCTCGAACCCCTCCAATCAGGTTTCCATGCTGCCCATAGCACAGAGACAGCCCTGATCAAAGTAACAAATGACACTCTGTCCATCTGCGATCAGGGCTTCCTCTGCCTTCCCGTCCTCCTTAACTTCTCTGCTGCTTTCTACACCAATTCAAGTCAACAAATTGCTTCTCCTCTATCCCCGCACCATCTCATGCGGAGTTCTTCAGGGCTCTATCCTTAGTCCCCTCTCTTCAATATCTACATGCTCCCTCTTGTTGACATCATCCAAAGACATGGGGTTAATTTCCACGTATATGCGGATGACACCCAACTCTATTTCTTTGCCTCCACCGTTAACTCCAGGACCACAGCTGTCGTTTCTGAATATTTGACGGACATCAGTCTCAACCTTAGCTAACTTTCTTCAGTTGAATCCCAACAAGACCAAGGCTCTCTGATTGGCTCCCATCAGTGCCTCCTCTCCTCAAGTATTGACAGCATCACTATCCATGGTTGTCCACTCTACCTTGCTAAGCCAATCCAGAACCACGGGATCTTATTTTACCATCAACTATCCTTTCTACCCCACATCTATGCCATCATCGACTCTGCCTTCCCACACCTCCGCAATGTCGCTCGGCTCCACTAATGTCTCAAACCACAGGCCACCGAAACCCTCATACATACTTTCATTCATCGAGGCGTGGCTGTACAAACTCATTGCTTATCATCCCCCCTCCACAGGCTGCAGATCATCCAGAATTCTGCAGCCTGTGTTCTTTCTAGCACTAGGCTCCGCAACCCTATCACCCCCATCCTTGCCCAACTCTACTGGCTTCCCATCACACAGAGAATACAGTTCAAGATCCTGGTGCTTCAAAGCCCTTGCTCCCTCTACCTCTGTGACCACCTAACCCCCTACCATCCTGTTCGCTCCCTCCTCTCAGTGGGCTCCAGCCTGCTTCACATCCTCCCGCCTCGCTTGCCCCACTGTTGCCTTCTGCTATTCTGCCCCCACCCTCTGGAACTCCATCCCGCAGTCCCTCCACCTTGCACCCTCCCTTGCCACCATCAAGACCCATCTCAAGACCCTTCTCTTCGACCGTGCTTTCCCCTCTGCCCTCCATCCTCCCCGACCCTGACCCCCAGCTCGGGTCCATAACTCTGTATATCCAAAGCCGTGGGACATCCTCCCGACCAGAAAGGACTTTTCAAATTTAATTTTGTTGCTGTTGTGCCCTTATTCACAAAGGTTTAAGCCCCAAATTGTCTACCTTATTCTATCACTTTCATATTTATTATCTTTTAAACATAAGATCTGTGGATTTGGATTTGTCAGTGTTTGATGGATGATGAATGGTTATTTGATCTGAAGGCTTTATCCTATTGGCTAACCTGCCACACACCCACTGAACCAAGAGCAATAAACATCTCTGCTGCTCTCCGTATTGTTCACTTCACAGATGAGAGAACGATGGATGCAAGAAGGATTAGAGACTACAGGAATATAGTGTCAGAGTATAATCCGATGAAAAGTGTAGGTGGTGGGGGATACATTCCCCAAAAAATCAGCATTCGCTTATTTGGCAAATTGGGACATGGCAAATCTACATTTATTAACAACTGCTTCTGTGTTGTGAAAGACAGCGATTATGAAAACTTTACAGGAGAAGGTCCTGCAACAGGTGGAGCTGTCAATAGTCGGATTGAAGCCCATGACCTCACCAGCAAAGTAGAAATTGTTGACAATCGAGGGTTGAGGAATCTGAATGCGAGAGAAATACATGAATGTAACATGCAACTGGGTAAATATCAAGAAGATTTATGTAATTTATTACTTTTTGCAGTTACTCTTGCTCTCATCTTTGAGCTAGACTGGGACATTGTCCTGATTTAAAAGGCGTTAGACAAATGTAATTTGTTGTTGTTGTGGGTTCAAACCCCAAGTTGGGATTTGGATTCACATTGTCTATGTTGACGCTCTAATGCAGTTTTGGTGGTGATTTGCATTGTTGGAGGTGTCATCCTTTGGATGAGATGTTAATTCATGATCCTGTCTGCCACTTCAATAGGAAATTAAAGAATCCACACACTATTCGGAAACAAAAGCAATTTCTCCCAATATCCTGTCCAACAAATCCCTCAAGGAAATTGTTTTCACTCGCTCCATGGCTATGTATGGGATGTGAGATATGCACAATGCTGTCGAGTTTTGCCCACATAATAATAATAATAATAATCCTTGTGTTTGATATAGTGCTTTTCATGTCTTCTGGACACCTCATAAAATGAATTGACTGTATATTTGTGGGTAAAACACAGCCAATTGCACACAGTAGTGTCTCACAAACAGTCATGGATTGAGTGACCAAATGATTATGGCTTTTTTTTGAGGGATTATTATCCTAAACAAGCAATCTGCCAATCGATTTACAACAGGGCTTCTACTACTGCTAGGTGAACAGAGGTGCATGGAGTAAGGAAACCAGTCCTACTAACCCAGATCTCTCGCTTGGCCAGTGATCCAACCACTGAGTTACAGGACTCCATGCACTCCACAAAATACACAATATATCCACTTTAATACATCTCAACGTGATAAGGCACTATATCAAATGCAAGATTTTTTTTGTTGAGTGGTTTGTTTTAATATTGGGTACTTTCTATTCTTGTTGGAGTCCCATAGCAATGTGGTTAGCGTGCTTGCCCCGTAGGCAAAATAGATTTGATTCCCAGTTAGAATGAAACCTTAAGCAAATTTCCTCATTGTACATTTTGTTTACCTAGCAGTAAGTAGGAACACAGTTCTTAATTGATTGGAGGAACTGATTTCGTGTGTAATAATCCCTCAAAAAAAATTGGATAATCAATCCACAATTGTTTGTGGGACATTGCTGTGGGCAATTGGCTGCCACATTTCCCCCGCCAAATGCACAGTCAATATACTTCAATATATATATATATATACAATATATTCTGTAAAGCGATTTGAGACTTCTCGATAATGTGATGAAGTGATATATCAAAGGCAAGGATTATTATTTATTATAATTCTGTTGCATTTAACAGATGGAGTTCGGAAAACCCAGACACAGGTTCACACCAAAGGTTGGGCTTCCTGGGCTTGGTTTCTGGATCAAATGAAAGGACGAGAAACAGAATGGGCCGAGACAATACAAGTTCCGATCTTCATTTACAGGTAAGTGGCGTAAATTCCCAAGAGTTGGAGCCTGGCTTATCTTATCACTACTGTTTAACTCATTGCGTGGCTCAGTGATGTCCCTGAGTCAGAAGTTTGCGAGTTCAAACCTCACATCGGGACTTGGACTCAAATAGTCTAAGCAGAGTGGTTGCTACACTTTCGGACTGCCTCTGAAAGATACACAATGGGTTTCGGTACAGTATAATACTAATAATTAACCCTACATTGGATAAAAATCCTCATCATATTGTCAAGAAGTCTCAGAGAGATTTATAGTATTGTTTTGTTGGCATATTGAAGCAACAGTGAAATGTACACAAACCTTTTTTGTTCCCATCAGAGTCGAGTCAAAACTGAAACTCACATCTGTGAAGCAATTTTTCACTGGCTTCCACTTTTTTTTAATCTTGCCTTCCCCACCTGCTCCCTCTTTCAATCAATCAGTCCCTTTATCAAGCCAATTACTGTCTCTCAATCACTCACACTCTCACCTTCTTTCTTTCTCACAATCACTTTCTGTCTCTTTTCTCTCGTTCTTTCGATCTCTCCTCCTACATACTCTCCCTCTCTTCCTCTTTCACATACTCTCTCACTCCCTGACACTCACACACACTTTCTCTTTCCTTTCGCACAATCTCTCTCTCTCTCTCAAGCTCTCTCTCACTGTCTCTCAATCAGCTGCATGGGATGTTTCACTATCTGGCAGTGGCAGGAGCTGAAGTTTGGGGCGATGCGGTTGGCAACGAAACTCACTTAGCGAAAAGCGGACCGCAATGCCAGATGCGGTCCATGGGCCACCAGTTTGACCACCCTGATTCAGATGCTTATACGACTTATAGATCAGATTTATGTGAATTTACCTGTAGCTCAGTGGTTAGATCTCTCGCCTCGCAAGCAGGCGAATTGAGTTCAATTCTCGGCAGGGTGAAATGTTGAGCAAGTTTCCTTTGTCCACACACCTCAGTCTAACTGGCAGTAAATAGGAATCTGATTGTTAGTTCATTGGTGGTCTGCTTTTCCAGTGATATAATTTCTTAAAAAGTCACTCAATCCATAATGGTTTGTGGGACACTGCTTCATGCAATTGGCTGCTGCATTTCTCCCGTAAAATATTCAGTCAATTCACTTTACAGTATATTCTGTGAAATACTTTGATCTGACTCGAATGTATAATAACAAATGCAAGGATTATTATTATTATAACATCTGAAATCTGATTCCTTAATGCAGAGCGGATATGCCCAGGATTCCGTCTGAAATTGTCCATCTTCGGCAGTTTGCAGACAACGCCTATTACTACACTGGTAAGAGAAATGGGTCGGGTCGAACATGTCACGATCACAGATATAAATACCCATCAGGTTTTCTTCCAAAGAAAGTGTGGCAAAATGTCTAATTTTTCTTTCAAAAGTTGTATTGAATTTGATTTTATAAAACAAGTATTTTTTTAATCCTCAGTGATCACATTATTGAGATGGTGAAAAGATAGTGGAGCTGGCCAAAAGGTGGTGGGTAAAGGAGTGAGCAGGAACAATAGCCAATTTGCGCATAGCAATGTTCCCACAAACGGCTCGACAGTGAATGTCCGATTTTATCTGGGGGATTGTTGGGCTGGATACTGGAACAGAAAGAAACTCTAAAGCACTCCGCACAGGAGTTTCAGCCTACAACTGTGGATTCAAAGTCCCTAATATGGAGGCTTGAAAAGCCAACTGTCTGACTCAGAGGCAAATACTCGAGTGACTGAGCCAGGCTGACACCAAATCTATCTAAAGGAATAAAAGTTGAATATCAGTGTTTCTTAATTGAAAAAGAACCTTCTCTCTCACTTTACAGGAATCTATCCTATAATTGTTTTGATGATGGCTGAGAAGATGTCAGAGAACCTTGATTCAGTCAGGGGCTTTTTTGGAAACCTCCACTGCACCGATATATATCCAGTAAAGAATTATCACGAGAAAGCAACAGAGAGGAACATGGAAACAGACACAATGATTTTGGAAATCCTTGTGAAGTGTCTGAATCGTGCTGATAGTGTCATCAAAAGAATTCATCCTGACACAGTTAAACCAACTTGGTTCAAATGAGAGGCTGGAGTTCACACAACAGTGGGCACAAAAGAAATTGCACTCAAAAATAGTCCAGCAGTATAATAGTATATGCTATTCTGTGTCTAATGATGATAGTTCAATATATAACCATTGACTTATATACTTCAAATAATGGTATGATTTTTTAAAATCCACATTGTACACATTATTTGATTCTCCAGCCAGTAGAGTTTCTTAAGTTTCCTAACAGTTTGATTGATTGGAATGTTATTGGGAGAGGCTCTCCTCTGATCTGTGTGGGAAAAATGTTTCCTTCATCTTTCTGTCACTTTATGGTTTCTATAAAATGGAACTAATTCAATGATTGAGATTGTGTTGGATTCCTGATTATTGAAGTAAGAATCTTGAACTTGATCTGCTGGAGGATGGAGAGTAAGTGGTAGCCGGGCAAGGATGAGGATCATGGGATCTGCAGTGGGTAAATATCGATAGCCATTCAAAAGCAGTGGAGGTGGGGTTGTGGGGGGGGGGGGAAACACAAAAACAACAACAACAACAACAAAATTACATTTATAGATCGGCTTTCATGTAGGAGGATGTCCCAAAGCGCTGAACAGTCAGGTGTCGGGGCCCGAGCATGGGGGAGGGGTGGGGTTGGGGTGAGGGAAGGCAAAGAGGCGTGGGAGGGAGACCAAAGGCACGGTCGAAGAGAAGGGTCTTGAGACCAGCCTTGAAGGAGGCGAGGGAGGAAGCGAGGCAACGGGACCGTGAGATGGAGTTCCAGAATGTGGGGGCAGAGAGGCTGAAAGCCCGGCCAACGATGTTGGGGTGGGTCGGGCAGGAGACACGGAGCAGACCGGAGCCCGATGAATGGAAGGAATGGGCAGGTTGGTAGGGAATCAACAGGTCAGAGAAGTATGACGGGGCAAAGGAAGAGTGGGAAGGCCGATGAGGAGGGAGTTCCTGCAATCGAGCCTTGATGTGACAATTGCGTGAGTGAGGGTTTCGCTGGCACTAGCCAATCAGGATGGTCTCGGTCTTGCTTATGTTGAGTTGGAGAAAGTTGGCCCTCGTCCAGGACTTGATGTCGGACAGGCAGTCGGTCAGGACCTCAGTTGTCCTGGAGTGCAGGGTGGAGCAGAGAGATAGAGTTGGGTGTCTTCCGCATACATGTGGAAACTTACCCCAAGTCTGCGGATGATGGGGGAGCAACAACAACAACAACAATAAGATTACATTTATATAGTGCCTTTCACATCAGGAGGATGTCCCAAGGTGCTGGACAGTCAGTATTTCGGACCCGAGCTGGGGGTCGGGATTGGGGAAGGTGGAGGGCAGGGTGATCAAAAGCATGGATGAAGAGGAGGGTCTTGAGATGGGTCTTGAAGGAGACAAGGGAGGGAGTGAGGCGGAGAGACCGAAAAGAGAACCCCGAGGAACACCACACGAGACGGGGCGGGAGCTGGAGGAGAAGCCGTTTGCCGCGATAAAGTGGAGGCAGTGTGAAAGTCAAGGACAAAACCTTGAAGGTTGAGGTGGGAGAAGAGAGAAGGATTGAGTGGTCCATGGTGTCAAAAGCGGCGGAGATGTCGAGGAGGACGAGGAGGCAGAGGGAACCCTGGTGGTACGTGGTCAGGATATTGTTTATCTTTCAGCAGAGCAGTTTGCGGGCAGCATGGAGACCCGATTGGTGGAGCAGAGGGCACGAGGAACAAGGCAGGAGGCCGTTGCCTGTCGAGCGGATGCACTGGATGGTGAATAGGGCAGTGAGGGGGTCAGAGAGGTAGGGAGGTGCCAGGGTTTTGAAAGTTGATTGATTCGTTGATGGGGAGCCAATGAAGCCTGGCCAGATCTGGTGAGATGGGGTTACAGAGTTGGGTCCGGGTTGGTATGCGGGGAGCAGAGTTCAGAATGAGCTGGATATTTTGAATAGTTGAGCTTGGGAGACCGGCGAGGAGTGAGTCTGAGTGATCGATAGCAGGAGGTGACAAACACATGCACGAGGATTTCGGCTGCATTTGGTGCAAAGGAAAGGGAAATTAGAGGGAAATTAAAGAAAAAGTGAAGTGGATGAGATGAAGAATATCTTTTTCCCCATTCGATCTCATCTCTCCAGAACACGATGTTGGACATGAACCCACAACTTGGAGGTGAGACTGCTCCTGAGCCAGACGTACCTTACCCCGGAGGAAATTGAAACACTTGTCCCTGCGTTCGTCAGCTCCCGACCGGATTGATCAAATCGCTTCTTTGCTGGTCTCACGAGCTACACCATACAGAATCCAGCAAATCCAAAACTCCACTGCCCACATACTCACCCATGCTAAACTCCGCACCCCCATCAAACCATTACTTTAAGCCACTATGCCCCAAAACTCTGGAACACTCTTTCTCTTTCTCTCTGGCTTGCCCCTTCCTTCCCCATTTTTAGGACGTCCCTGAAGAATTTCCTATTCGACCATCCCTACTGTCAGCTACCCCTCAACCTGGCTCGGATTCATGCTCCATCACTGTCAAATGCTCTGGGACGTACCCTGTGCGAGGAGCGCTGTATAAATGTATAAATGCAAATTGTTGTTGTTTTACTTTTCACTATCGATAGCATTGCTATGGTGAAGTGGCTGAATACGTGACCTCCAATAGTGGAGCGGAGGACTATCAAGCTTGATGGTTGATACACAACTATCAAGAAATAGGTTTGGATGAAGACGTATTTTGGGCCCATCTGATCTGGTCTGTCCACTCCCCTCCACTCGCCCATCAAAGCATTGAGCTGCTTTTTAAACGAGACCCAGTTTCCTAGCTTCGACCTTCTTCCTAACAAACCTGTTCCAATTGTTAATTTTAATTACTCTCAGGGTAAAGAAAAACTTCCTGCTCTCTTGTCCTATCAGAGGATGAAGTGACACAATAAAAACTGTATAATAATAATAATCCTTGCTTTTAATACAGTGCCTTATCATGTCTTCGAAACATCTCAAAGCGTTTCTCAGAACATATTGTATAGTGAATTGACTGTATATTTTGTGTCCGAAAAGTATAAGACCAACATTACGTTCCATTGGGAAGGAAAAAGTGGTTGTGATGGCACTGTTAGAAAGACGGAGAGAAATGATTCACAGAAGAGACTGACAACAGAGGCAGACAGTGAATCACCTAAATAATGAGTCACGCCGAGGGCTTTTCACCTCTGAGATGCAAAAAAGATGAGATGCTCCTCAAAAATGGCCACCGGCTGCTCATCCCTGGTGCTGACAACATCGCTATCCATGGATGCACTTTTAAAGACTACATCCGTGCTATTACCCATTATGTCTTCTCCCACCTCATCACCATTGTGCGTCTACGCCATTATTATCTCCCCTCAGGCTGCCTGGACCCTCATTGACTACTTTCTTTATACCAGGGCTTGACTAGCGCATTATCACAACAACAATAACAACAAAATTACATTTGTAAAGCGTCTTTAATGTCTGTGGATGGCCATCCCAAGACGCTGAACAGTCGGCTATTAGGACCTGATTGTGTGGGGGTTGGGTTGATGGGGTGGGTGTGTGGTGGGGGCAGGGTTGGCATGAGGGAGGGCAGAGAGGTAAGAGGGCAGCTGAAAGAATGATCGAAAAGGAGAGTCTTGAGTCATGCCTTGAAAGAGGCAAGAGAGGGAGCAAGGCGAAGGGATCGTGGGATGGAGTTCCAAAGGGTAGGGGTAGAGAGACTGAAAGCCCAGCCAGTAGGGTGGGTCAGCTGGGAGACATGGAGGAGGCTGGAGACCGCTGAGTGGAGGGAGTGGGCAGGTTGATAGGAGGTCAGCAGGTCAGCGAGGTAGAAGAGGGCAAGGCCATGGAGGGCCTTGAAAGTGAGGACGAGGATTTTGAATTCTATTCTCTGAGGCATGGGGAACCAGTGGAGCCAGGAGAGGGAGGGGTTGATGGGGTCATGGAGCCTGGTGCGGGGAGGACATAAGCTACAGGGTTCTGGATGATCTGTAGCTTGTGAAGTGAAGAGTTGAAGGGGCCAAAAAGGAGCGGTTTGCACAGTCGAGCCATGAGGTGACAAATGCGTGTATGAAGGTTTTGGTCGCCTGAGGGCTGAGACAATGGTGGAGTCGGGTAATGTTGCGGAGATGCGGGAAGGCAGAGCAGAAGGCACATCTTCGAGATGTCTCAAAACGCTTCACAGAATATACTGTAAAATGTAATTGACTCTATATTTTGTGGTGAAGCTTTGCAGCCAATTACTCACACAGTGTCGCACAAACAGTAGGGAATTGAGTGACCAAATTATGTGTTTTGAAGTTAGCATCAAATAAGGAAACAATTTACATAAACCTACTTTCTCTTCCGTGACAGCCTATAATTTAGCTGCTCACATTGTAACCACACCCACACAGGGAGATTATTATGGAACCCAAACTCTCCACACTTCACAACAGACAAGAAGCTGAACACAGACAGATAGTGAGGAGGAGAATGAACTATAGAGGTTTAGCTGAACCTCTCCTCCCAATGCCTTCCTTGGTAATTGTCAGATCCCTGTGCTCTCAACAGGACCTTACACGTGTTCTCGATCAACTGAACCTGATCAATCATGTGGAGGTGAAATACTCAGAACTCAGTTCAGCTGAATTAGAGCCGTGGTGTTTGTTGCAGTGCTGGATGTGGTGTTGGTGTTTGCTGGTGTGCAGCGTGCGGTACGTCTGGCAGTGTGTGAGGTTCATGGGGCAATGTCTATACCTCGGATTCCACTGGCTGTTCAGCTGCTGTTGCGGGTTTAGATACAGCTGGATGAAACAAGAAGCTCGGAAGTGTAAGCCATTCCTGGGCTGTTTGTGGCAAAAGAAACTGAACGTGGTCCACCACTCAGCTCTGCAAGGAAGAATGAATATCACAGATGTCTACGATTCTTTATACGACTATATTCTAACGTACATGTCATGGAGAGTCGGTAGGTGCAATCTGAGGGGGTCCTCACTGCTGTTTCTCAAAGCTCCATTTCCCTTAGCAGTTGGCTGCTGTGCTTTACCCACAAAATATACAGATAATTCACTTTGCAGTGTATTCTGTGAAACGCTTTGAGATCTCAAAGACGTAATCAGGCGCTATACCAAATGCAAGGTATTGTATTGAAGTGCTTAACAGTGATGAAGTTTGATACTAAGTGGAGGAGAAGTGGAGGGGGTCTGGTGGGAGAGTGGGGCGTGCTGGAGTGTATGGTTGAAGAGGAAAGTTTTCAGGTGGGATCTGAAGATAGGCAAAGAGGGGGAGGTTTGAGGCAACAGATGACAGATTTTGGGGTGCAGTGTCTCAGAGCATGGCCACTGATGGTGGAGTTGGAGGGTACAAGGGACAAGCAGAAGGCTGTAGCCAGGTCAGAGAAAGAAGCAGGTTGAGGAGTGGGTTGTGAGCAGGTGATCATGGACCAGATGTGCTCTGAACTTCAGTGCGCTGATCTCCAAATCAATCTCATCTGCCACTGGGAACCATTGGGGTCTGGCGAAGATTGGAGCAATGGGGATGTAGAGTTTAGTATGGGCAAGAATAGGAGTGTTATAGTTTTGAATTAATTGAATGTTATGAATCTGTGTTGTCTGTGTTAGAATCTGATGGTTTGATTCTCTTTGATGTTGTCAGCCTGGCTCAATGGTTAGGCACTCTCCTCTGAGTCAGAGGGTTGTAGGTTTTAGCTTGATTCTATCTCAAAGGAGAAGGGAATTTTTCTCTCCCAGTATCCTGACGAAGAATCACAGAAATAAAACCAGTCCCTCACTTCATGGGTGTTTGTTGGATAGAGCTGAGAGCAAAATTGGCTGCCACCTTTTCCCACAAAGTACACCATTGCTGCACTTTACAGTAAATCTTGTGAAGTGCTTTATGGTATCCTTACAATGTGAAAGGCACAATATCAAATGTAAGGATTATTTGTATGTGGTTATTACAGTTTAAACCTAAGTGGCTTTCAGGTATGAGTCAGCCGGACTAATAACACTGTCACATTACATTTGTATGGATTTTACTTTTCTAGTATGTTTGAACTTTCTAAAATTGATACTGTCTGCAGGAGGTTGATATTTTGCTCCCCAGGTAATTTGTCAAGCCATTTCTGAACAGTCTTATAAACAGTCTCAGTCGCGTGGTGATTATAGGAACTATGTTTGTTTTGTACTCACACATACATCCCCATTCAATTTGCAGATTAATATGTTTCCTAATCTTCTCTAAATCTTTGTTTCCTACATTGCTAGCACTTGGAATAGCCACATCAATAATATTACACGTACAGCCTACTAATTTATAATAATAGAGATTACTGTACTATGTCTATGTACCTGTGAACCCCAGATTATTGTGATTTATTTTTCAACGTCGCTTTTATTATTTATTATTATTTTACAGGCCGGGAGTCTATCATCTTCATTGTGGACAATGTGCAGGACGGCAAAACTACACAGGACAACATCAAAGTTGAACAGCCAACTTTAATTCAATGTTGCAATAAAATTTTCATCTTCCAGAACACTGATGAGAATGGATGGAACCAACTGGAAGAAGACAGATTAAATATATTTCTCCAAACATACTTCAAAACTGTTGAATTGACCAGTGTGGATTGAAGGCCAAGAGTGCTCATGGTCAATGTGCCCATGTTTGGCCCTCGACAGACAGGGAACACCAGAAGCCATTTTATTCTGGTTTCACTTTCTCTAAAATGAACTTTACAATGTCTATTATTATCAGAATACCAGTAGTGCCGGGGCTATGATTGATTTCCATTGCAATTCTGGGTGAACAATTAGCTCAAATAATCATATTTACTGTAGAATGTTTATTTTCTGTAGAAAGTTTCTCTTGTGGTGAATTATTGATCTGTTTGGTCCAAATGTAATAAAATCTCTTTATTTTCCTAAAAGCACTTTTATAATGCTTGTGGAATGAGATAAGGCCCTGATCCTAAAACGGTGATAAGGTGACAACTATAATAATGTGATCATATTGCAGTGCAATTAACCTGGCTCCCATTCCACTTTACACTTGGATCAAATGTCTACTTCGCTAATTAATTCCGTGGTTTTATTTAAATATGCAGATAATACACCTCTTTAATGTGGTACCTAGCCTCATTGAAATCTTTTCTATTCCACATCTTCCCTGTTCTCCTTCTTTACCCCATCCACCGCTCCCTCCCACTCTGGATTTGGTCCAACAAAGCCATCAGAGCCATTCCCACTGCCATCCCCCCCACCTTCACTGTCACCTCTATCCTCTATCAGCCTATGTGCTGATGATGCCCTGTAGATCACTCTCAAAAAGCAAGAGGCCTGATTCGATTATTGGGCGGGACGAAATATTGACCAAGTTTCCTTAGTCCACAAGCCTCTGTTAATCCAGCAGTAAGCAGGAACCTGATTGTTAGTCAATTGATGGATCGCTTTTCCGGAGGTAATTATTTCTTCCAAAAAAAATTGGTCACTTCAATCCACAACCTTTTGTGGAACACTGCTGTTTGCAATTTGCTGCTGTGTTTAGCCCATAAAATTTACAGTGTATTCTGTGAAGCGCTTTGAGACAAATCGAAGATGTGATAAGGGTGTATATCAAATACAAGGATTATTCTAATTATAACAGCTGAAATCTGATTGCTTAATGCAGAGTGAATTGCCAGGATTATGTCTGAAATTGACGAATTTTGGCAGTTTGCAAAAATTGCCGATTCCTAGACACCTTCCACCCACAAAATGCAAAATAATGCAGATGCTAAAAATCTGAAAAAAATATAGAAATCGCTGGGAATATACAGCAGGTCAGGCAGCATCTATGGGGAAAGGAAAGTGAGTCAACATTTTGCGTCCACAACCCTTCATTAGAACTGGGATATATTGGGAGGGAGAGGCTTTTAAGGGCTAACATGTAGGGGGGAGGGAGGTCAAGGAATACAAAGGAAAAAATGGGGTAGAGGTCAGGGGATGATAGGTTAAAGAGATGTTATTGATGCAAAATAAAGGGGGGAGAATACAACAAAACAGGGAAATAGAGGTGTTAATAATGCAAAACAAGGGGTGGGGGGGAAATTGCAACTAAAAGAGGTAGACCAGAGAGAGAAAATGTGTGTCTGGGACTCATATGATGTGGTAATCGTCCCAGAAGAGTGGGAGGGGGAAGCTGACCTGTCATAATCTGAAATTTTGATATCAATATTGAAGCCAGAGGGCTGTAAGCTCCGCAGCAAATAAATGAGGTGCTGTTCCTTGAGCTTGCACTGTAGCTCGTTGGAATAACATAGAAGACCATGGATACAGAGGTCTGAGTGCGATTGGAAGGAAGAGTTGAACTGGCAATAAACTAAAAGTTCGGGTTTTGCTTGCAGACAGAACAGAGGTCCTCGGTAAATCAGTCACCCGATCAGCATTTTCGTCTCTCCAATGTAGAGGAGACCACATCATGAGCAGCAAATGCAATAATCTATATTGGTGGCAATACATGTAAATCGTTGTCTCACTTGAAATCTGTGTTTGGTGCCCTGGACAGTGATATGAGTGCTCTGAGATGCTCTGAAATGCCGTCCGGAGTGGAGGGCGCTATATCAATCCAAGTTGTTGTTGTTGTATAGGAAGAGGTGAAAGGGCAGGTATTGCATCTCCTGCGCTGGCATGGGAAGGTGCCGTGGGGAGGAGAGCAACCTTTGGTGGTGATGGACTCTCCCACTGTGTCCTCCCACTGTGTCCTGCTCTCTCTCTGCCTTCCCTGTCTCCTATCCCTATTTGACCACACAGCCCCATTGCCTCCCTCTACTCCAACCTGGGAATCCTCTACCGGGCTCATCGTGGCACTCTGTGTTGACCGTCCAGCAGTAGCCACACCGACTGCCCCATTCCCCACTACGGCCACAAACCACCCCGGACCCTGACCCCGGGGGCTAACCTCTCCTTCCTCATCTGCATCGCCACCCTCCCTCCCAACTTATCCACTACCCCATCCCATCCCACACATCCCCTGCCAACTGTCCACTCCACATTGGCCTTCAAAATGTCCACTTCATCTGCAATAAGACCCTGACCTTCAGTGTTCTCATCCTTGATGAGTACGTTGATATTATGGCCATCACGGAAACCTGGATAACCCCAGGTGACACCTTCCTTTTACTGAGGCCACACAACCTGGCTATACCTACCACCAAGCCCCACACCCCAACCGTTGTGGCAGTGGTGTGGACCTCATCTCTAGGGCATCACTTGCCCTATTCCCCTACTCCACTGGCTCATTCTCCTCTTTTGAACACTTACCCTCTGCCATCCCTCCCATCTCTCAATAAAAATTCTCCTAATTTACAACCCCCCCCAAATCTTCCCCCATCTTCATCTCTGACATCTCCATCCTTCTAGCTTCCCTCTGCCTCTGCTCCGACTGCCTCAGCATCCCAGGCAAATTCAACCTCCACTTCATCCCCTCTTGCTCCACCTCCTCAGACTCCTCCTCTCCTCTCTCATCTTTTACCTCCACTTCCACTCTGCTACCCACATTCACGACCACTCGCTCAACCTAGTGATCACCCAGGGCCTCAGAGTCTCGGATGTCACCATCACTGACCACCATTTCATCTCCCTCAACTCCCATATCCCTCTCTCCACTGGCTCAAAACCTACCACCATCTCCTACCGCTTGTGGAAGAAGATCTCCCCGCAATCTCTCTCTGCTACCCATGAGTCCTCTGAACTCCTCCACTTCTGGCCCACCTCCCGCACCAACCCATCCTCTAGGTTTACTCTCCCCCACAGCATCCTCTCCACCACACTCGACGCCCTTGGCCCCCTCAGCTCCCGAACTACCTCCTATTCCCGATCCTCACACTGGTTCACCAGCCACCTCCACTCACTCAAGGGTCAGTTGAGGGCTGCCGAATGCATTTGATTCAAACCCGGCCTAATGGTCCACCGCCACATCTGGCTGGACCATCAAAACCTACTGCTCCGCTCTCACCTCAGCCAAATCGTCCTTCTATTCCAGGTTAATCCTGGAAGAGAAGGGCAACCCAAGACGTTCTCCACCACTATCTGACTCCTCCGCCCTCCCCGCCACGCCTCGCAGATTCTTTCATCCAACTCCCACTGCGAAGAAATGCTGGACTTCCTCGAGTGCAAAATTGAGGGAATCTGCTCAGCTACCACTGCCCTTCCAAATTCCACCCCCTCCCTACCTCCCCCACACTCCGACCACTACCCATCCCTCCTTCCACACCTTAATCTGTCACTCCCTCTTCTGTCATCACCACCATATCCTCCATGAAGCTCACCAACTGCTCCCTGGACCTCATCACCAGCCCTTTCCTTAAACCTCAGTAAATTAATCAATTAGATAGATAGATAGATAGATAGATAGATAGATAGATAGATAGATAGATAGATAGATAGATAGATAGATAGATAGATAGATAGATAGATAGATAGATAGATAGATAGATAGATAGATAGATAGATAGATAGATAGATAGATAGATAGATAGATAGATAGATAGATAGATAGATAGATAGATAGATAGATAGATAGATAGATAGATAGATAGATAGATAGATAGATAGATAGCTGGGCAGATGGATGGATGGATAAGAAAATAAAGTAAATAATTAAAGTGGAGACTTACTTGCCTCACTACCGTGGAGTCCTGTAGCTCAATGGTTGGAGCACTCGCTTTGCAAGTGAGAGACCTGAGTTCAATTCCAGGCAGAGGGCGAAACCTTGGGCAAGTTTCCTTACTCCACACTGAGCCTAATAATAATCCTTACAAAACAAAAAACAATAATAAATTGGTTATTTTCAATCCATGACTGTTTGTGGGACATTGCTATGTGCAATTGGCTGTCGTGTTCGCCCACAAATATACAGTCAATTCACTCTACAGTATATTCTGTGAAGCGCTTTGGGACGTCTAGAAATGCGCTATATTAAATGCAAGGATTATTATTATTATTATTATTACTCGCCGACATCATCAACCTTTCCCTGTCATCTGGCACTTTTACTATCCCCCTCACAATAGCTACTATCAACTTTGAAGAAACAACACAGCTATCTAGATACCGGCCCGTCTCCAACCTTCCTTCTCTGTAAGGTCTTTGGACAGAGAGGGTCAAATTTCCACATGTGTGCAGATGACACCCAACTCTATCTTTCTGTTTCTACCCTCAAATCTAGGACTACTGACTTCCTGACATCAAGTACTGGATTAGGGATAACTTTCTCCAACTCAATGTCAGCAAGACCAAGACCCTCCCAATTACCTCGTGCCAGCGCCTCCGCACCACGGCTGCACACTCAACCTAACTAAGCCAGTCCGCAACCTGGGTGTCTTGTTTATTCCGAACTGTTCTTTCTCCCCCATATCTGCACCATGACCAACACTGCCTACCACTACCTCAGCAACATTGCCAGACTCCCTCAGACTGCTGAAACCCTTAACAACGCATTCATGACATCAAGGCTCGATTTTGGAAATTCCTTCCTCATCAGCCTTCCCAACTCTTCCCTTCACAAGCTGCAGATCATCCAAAACTCTGCAGCTCATGTACTGTCTCGCACCAGGCTCCGTGACTCCATCACTCCCACCGTCCCCCGACGTCACTGGCTCCCCATCCCCCAGAGGATCGAATTCAAGATCCTCGTCCTCATTTTCATCCATGGCCTTGCCCCCTCCTACCTCTCTGACCAGCTGACTCCCTACCAACCTGCCCGCTCCCTCCATTCAGCAGGCTCCATGTCT